AGAATGAGAGACAGAGAGCATGAGAGGGAGGAGGGTCAGAGGGAGAAGCAGACTCCCTGCCGAGCAGGGAGCCCGAGGAGGGACTCGATCCAGGGACTCCAGGATCATGACCTGAGCCGAAGGCAGTCGCTTAACCAACTGAGCCACCCAGGAGCCCTGAAGGCATTGTTTTTATAATAAAGCGTGCTCAGTATCATCACCAAAATGTACCAGAAACATCAGCTTTTGGTCCTTTGTATATAAAGAGCACTTTTGGCACAGGGGATATTCATCAGATATGTATAACCAGATTTACTTAGGACAAGGAGAGTGAAACACAGGGTTGAACCCCACCATACAAGGAATTGGTGCATGAGCCAGAGAATGATCCCAACAAGAAGTATAGTTTTTAAGATCTAAGTTATTGAAGAATACAAAATACTTCCCTTGAAGTCTTTAAAATGGGATGGATTTTGTCATTTTTTTAACTCAGAGACTTTTCAGAGCAGCTCAGCTTTCAACTTCATGACTAATTTTCTTCTTTAAGCCCCACAAATCCCAGTGATTCTGTGAATTTGTCACAGTATTTCAGAATGAGTCAGCATTTAAGAAGTCAACAGACTTTCTTACTCCTACATATATGAAATTTTAGGGAAAAAGCTTTATGAATTGTTATAATCTTTTGAATGATATTTGTAGTTACTACTTAAAAGTACTTACAATTTTATTTTATGATACATAGTTTTTCTTTCAAGAGGAGCAGTGTCATAATACTAAGGACAAAGCAACTTTAAAACTAAGTATGTGGGCAGGGGATGGGCAAAATGAGTGAAGCAGAGTGGGAGATACAGGCTTCCAGTTATGGAATGAATAAGTCATGGGTATTAGAGGTACTCATAGGGAATATAATCAATAATATTATAATAGTGTTGTATGGTAACCAATGGTAGCTACACTTGTGGTGAGCACAGCATAATATATAGAGATGTTGAATCACTGTGTTTTATGTGTAAAACTAATGTTAACATTGCCTGTCAGGTCTATTCAAAGAAAAAAAATTAATAAAAAAAACATGAAGTTTTACAAACAGTAAAAATAAAGGGGGAAAAAAACTGTCCTTTTACAACTTTCCTTATATTCCATTAACTGAGGTGGCCCAGAAGAAGAGTAGAAATCTATAATCTTTGGCACCAAGCCATCTATACATTTTAAAGTATGTGATTTTGAAAGAAATATGGACTCTGTCTGAAACAGAAACAGAATATAGTTTCTGCTAATGCAGTTTCTCACATTCATCCCTTCCCAGAATATACTATCATGTACATGACATATTTGAAGAACATTTTAGTTTTTATTGCACTATATATAACATTTTCCTTCAGCTTTTCTAAGATATTATTTAAAAGGAAAAGGGAAGCAATTACTAAGAAACTTAGGTGTATGGATTTTTTATGAGTACAGATTTTAAACATTTTTACATTTCCTATCACATTTCTTTTATGGTGCCTGAATCGGCCATGCCTGTATTCTACATACAATTCTTTGCTTATGACCTTCACAGATACCAGCCAAATGCATTTTTCCAACACTCAGCTAGATAGCCCACTGTTAGTTGGCATGCTTGACTCACTTTCTTAATATTTTTCTTTCAAGATCCATCAGGAGAAAAATTTTCATTGATCTAATCTAATATTTAAAATGTAAAAGGTCATTTATTCTCACGTTCACCCATGCTGTCCTTTCTCCTATGCAAATACTAAAAGCACTGCTGCTTTCCATTAATTATTTTCTTTTTTTCTCAGGTGCTTTCTTTAGTATTTTATTTTTAAGCCAAAAAAATCAAAATTAAAGGTTCATAAATTCATGCTTACAAAATAAGGATTTTTAAAGTTTTTTAAAGTCTTTTTTATGGCTTTAGTAAAATTAAATTTTTTGTTCATTGTATTGTACTATTGCTCAGAGTTTTTTTTTTTTTCCAAGGTTTTATTTATTTGACAGAGAGAGACACAGTGAGAGAGGGAACACAAGCAGGGGGAGTGAGAGAGGGAGAAGCAGGCTTCCCGTGGAGCAGGGAACCCGATGCGGGGTTCGATCCCAGGACCCTGGGATCATGACCTGAGCCTAAGGCAGATGCCTAACCGACTGAGCCACTCAGGCGCCCTGCTCAGTGTTATTCTTGATACTTAATTTATTCAACACTGTGTGCTAAAATGTATGCCCTATTGTCAGCTGATGAGGGAAGAGGATAGAGACCAGAGATTGATTTTGAAAGGCTATGATATAGTTATATATCGTATATCATATATAGATAGATGATAGATGATAGATAGATATAGATATAGAAGAGGAGAAAGAGAGACACTTAAGTTTTAATATTTATTTCAGTTCAATGAATACAATTTTTGCCAGTATCACTAGATGGCAGGCTGTGGCTTGGTATGGTTAGTCTTTTGAGGGAAGGTGGAGTGGGTTAATCCAGTTCTTTCAGTACTTTTTATGTGTGTTTCTAGACTGATTTATGAGAATAAAAAGTAGTATGTAGTATTAAGTGCATTTGTAACACACATTCATTCCAAGGATTCAGGTCACAGCCTTTGCAATACAAGGGTGTATCATTCTGGGATGTACACACTCAAGATTATGATATTCATAACCCTTTACTTTATAGACTGAAGAAGTCATACTTAAAATGATGTATTCTCCACTTTAAATCATTGCACTTTTCGTTTTTTTCCTGTGGTGCAGGCGATTTGGATTATTACTGGTTGGATCCTGCCACGTGGCATAGCCGGGAAACATCGCCTATTAGTTCGGTAAGCTTTCTGGGAAGTGAAAGTTTGGAGCTTAGGGACGATATGTGCTGTTCATTGTCCTATGTTTGATATGTGATAGATGGCAATCTTATTCAACTTCATTATACATTTTAAGAGAGAAAATACTCATTTCATTTAAGGCAGTGCAATTTAGAAGAGAAGTAAAAAGCAATTATTAAATGATGACTATATATAAATGATATTATTTGGTTAATGACATCAACATTAACAACAACTCAAAATACAGAATCAATTTTCCTTATAAAAGCAGATATAGTTTAAATTTCAATTTATTTCAGAACAATTTTTTAGACATTTTCTTAGTTGCTGACTACTTTTAGAACTATTTAGTTTAAGAGTCTACTACAAATAAAATGTAGCTGTCAATGCAAATTGTTGTAAGCCTAGGGTCGAACCCACCAGAATAAAGAATTCCCTCCAGAGTATCTTTAACTGAGGAAATCACATCATGCTACAACCAATAACTATGTGTTTATAGGAAAGAAAACATCTTTTTTAACTTTATTCATGTTCTAATAGCATCCTGTAACGTGGCAACCATCTAAAGAGGGGGACCGATTAATTGGACGTGTTATTCTTAACAAGAGAACAACCATGCCCAAAGAATCAGGTGCATTACTGGGTCTGAAAGTAAGTATGCTGGTTTAAAGTGTTTCTTAAGGCTGGATTACAGTATGGGTTGCATTCAACAAAGTTTCTGACAATGATTTTTAAATATCTTCCTTTCTTCTCTGAAATAAAGTCCTCCTAGTGAATATATCCTGTTAATATATTGATATCTTATGGTAGATCTAGTGTTTTTATCTGGGTTAATATTTTAAAATCATTTTATTAATATGGCATACAGGTGTGTTCGGAAACTGCCATAAAAAAGAGGAAAATAAAGAATTTTTATCTGAGTATAAAGTTCAAGGATGATTTTTACATTAAAAAGTTTTAATGTATGGTAGTAAAATTAGATAATGTAAACTGCATAATTTTATTGTATCTTGACAAGCAACATAAAACATCATTAAAGAGATTGTTTCCTAAGTACAATAGAATTTATGGTAATACCAAAAGAGTAAAATGTATCTTTTAAAAATATTAACTGACTTCCAACAGATAAATGAAAAACTAATTAATTGCAAAAGCTTATGTTTTATTATAGGAAAAAATATACATACACATTTTGTTTTATTGTGTGTGTATGTGTGTGTTAAATCACATGGTTTTATTTGCTTTCAGAAACTTAGAGAAGCATCCAAAGATGGGCTTTAAAACTATTTACCAAGATATTGTATTATATTTGTGTGATAGTTTGACCTCTTCAAAACCATTGACTGTTAATCCCGCTAAAACTTCTCTTCAGTTAATGCACTTAATAATATCACCTTATTGGTTATTGCCATTAATTTCTCTTGCTATGAGATAATTCTGATCACCTCCACTAATGGGCATGTCCTAAAGAATTGTGGATCAACTTCAAGCTTTGAGAATATGCCTTGTATTTTTAATTATACATACTTAGCACCTGCATTGGGAGAAATTAAACTTAGAAACTTTCAGATGTATTTAATTTTAGTTACAATGGAAAAACCTGTTACAAGGTAAACCTGTTAAATATTCAGTAATATAACTCAGACTTCAAGAGTTAGATTAAAATACATATATATTTCAGATGAAATCATTCAGATGATCAGTGGCAAGGATAAACTTAGACTATTACTCATTGTACCATAATAAATTGCTTCCCCAAAGTAGCCTATTCTTGGTCTGAATCCACAGTCTTTATGTCTTAGACCTATATTCTACTAAAGTTATACACGAGATAACTGATGTAACAATGGGGCATTATGTGCATATAGAACTATAATTCAAATGGTAGGTATGAATTTTGAGGATAAAGAAAAATGAAACGTAATGTAAACTGTGTCCCACACTTCTGTAGGGAAGTAGGGAAGACCTAGCACTTGTTTTGTAAGGATATACATTACTCATGGTCCCCCTGCATTGTTAGGTCAGTATAAGTAATCAGTACATGAACTTCGTTAGGACACATGGTCATCTCAAATATAATGAGATGTTTTCTTTTTAAAACTACACTGCTGGAGGGGGTGGGGGGATGGGTTAGCCTGGTGATGGGTATTAAGGAGGGCACGTATTGAATGGAAGCACTGGGTGTTATACACAAACAATAAATCATGGAACACTACATCAAAAACTAATAGTGTAATATATGGTGACTAACATAACATAATAAAATAAAATTAAAAAAATAAAAACTACACTGCCATTCCATGGGGTGCCTGGGCTGCTCAGTTGGTTAAGTGTCTGACTATTTTTGCTTTGGTTTTTTTGTTTTTAAGATTTTTTTTATTTATTTGAGAGAGAGAGGAAGAACAGGGGGAGGGGCAGAGGCAGGGGCAGGGCAGAGGGAGAAGTAGACTCCTGCTGAGCAGGGAGCCTGCCACAGCTTGATCCCAGGACCCATCCCAAGACCCATCCCAGGATCCATCCCAGGACCCCGGGATCCCAATCTGAGCCCAAGGCAGCCACTTAACCAACTGAGCCACCCAGGTCCCCCAAATGTCTGACTCTTGATCTAAGCTCAGGTCTTGATCTCAGGATCGTGAGTTCAAGCCCTGTGTTGGGGGCCTACTAAAAACAACAACAACAACAACAACATACTGTTCCTCATTTAGTCAAAAATATATTTCAGGGGGCGCCTGGGTGGCTCAGTCGTTAAGTGTCTGCCTTCGGCTCAGGTCGTTATCCCGGAGTCCTGGGATCGAGCCCTGCATCGGGCTCCCTGCTCAGCGGGAAGCCTGCTTCTCCCTCTCCCACTCCCCTTGTTTGTGTTCCTGCTCTCACTGTGTCTCTCTCTGTCAAATAAATAAATAAAATCTTTAAAAATATATATATATATTTCAGTTTATTAATATACCTACACTCAATCCTAAATACATTGTAAAAGACTGTAGGAGTAATTCCTCAAAGTAATAAACTTATGTTTTGATATGAGTCTTGGGAACTTATAAATTTATTATTATCCAGGTTGTTGGAGGGAAAATGACTGACTTAGGACGCCTTGGTGCCTTCATCACCAAAGTAAAGAAGGGTAGCCTTGCAGATGTAGTTGGACACTTAAGAGCAGGTAAAGTTTCTTTTTAACATTTAAACAGTGTGTACTCTTTGCATGAATTGGTGGTTTTCAATTTGGGGTAAGTTATATATAAGTCAGTTAAATAACTAATTTTAGTGCATGAATAAAGACTTTTCCCTGGTGTGGGTATTTACTGATTGCAATAATAGGCAATGATACATCAGTAGCAGTTTAGAGAGAGTAAGTTCAGGAATCTTTTTTTATTTGTGTAAAAATAAATAGATAAAAATGCTACAGGATTCCTAGTTTATGTAGATGGCTTCATAATGTTGTTACAAAAATCCAAAACAATTTAGTCTCATAGAAAAAATAATATCACTAATTCTTTAGTTATACTTCTTTATATTTTAAGGTGTTATAATTACTAAAGTTTTTCACAATGGTCCCAAAACACTTATCAGTAGTAGTTTTTAGTAAAATACAACCATAATCACATTTCTTACACAGATGATGTAATAAAATATTTGTTAATTTAATTGTGGCATGTATTGTACTCATGCAGATGTGCTACTTCTTGGTATTTGGAAATTTACCTAATGTTGCTCTGTAACCTTAACATGATACAATAAAATCATTTAATATGTTCAGATATACCACATTCAGTAGCGACATACTTTGAAATCTATTCTTGTTAAATTGTTTACTCTTCATTTTAGTTAAAATCATATTAACATATTTTTTCTGGTTTACTTCACAGTTTAGTAGAAATCTTTTGGTTGGAGTGTCTGCTTATGCATTTGAAAGACAATTACAATGAAAACAGAGAAAGCTGAACTGTAGAATTGAGGATTAATAACCCATAGCACATAGAAAGAGAACATTTCTAGGCTGTTTTCAGTTTTTATACCTTAAGATTGTAATTACTGAGACTTTTAGAAAAGTGTTCTATAACTGTTAAAGACATTTTTGTTGTAATTGACTACCAGGGTATCGGTTCAAAATCATTTAGGTTTTTTCTTTGATAGAGACTTCCTACGCAGGTGTTGTATAGGGAGAAAATCCAAATCAGAGATTTTTCTCCATCTGTAATACATACAGCTTTGAAAATGTATAGGGGTACAGTACACTGTTGTTTACTATCAGGGACTACTTATAAGAAAATAACTCAATCAGAAGTGACTGTGTCAATAAACTGAGTCTTTGCTTGTTCAAAGACTAAAAAATCAGCCTTAGAAAGTTTGTGAATCCCTTAAAAAAAAGTATAAGAATCCCTTGAATCATGTAATGCTCTAATGTAACTATAGGAATCTGAATTTGCAGATCAGTTTATAAACATAATGGCTTTTGATTTTGCTTTGTATTTTAATACAAGATTATGTAAGAGAGTCCGTGAAATAAATAACCCTTAGTGATAAATTTCACTTATTTATCACCCTTAATGTGCCTAGAGCCTGAGAAACTTAAATCTAAAATCTTAAAAGCTCAGCTTAAATAAGTATAAAACATACAAGTGGACTTTTCACTTCAAGCAATTGATGCATTTGAAAAAAGCATTTTAATAAATTTGATCATATATTCTGTTTGATATACATTATAATTTAAGGATGATCTTCCTTCTGTTTGCATATAGGCATCATTGGCCTATACAGTGCTGTGTTTACTAGCGTGACCTTTGTGCAGCATTTGCACTGTTGCTTTAATCTTGCCATAACTTTCTCTACTGCTTCTTCCCCTTAAGTCCATGCACTGTGCCACTACTTGGCTTAATTATCAAAAACACAAAGCTGACACTGACATGCTCCTTATTAAAGCCCCTCCCTGTCTCCCCATCATCATCTGCTTACATCAAAGCTCTGTAGCTCTGTCCTCTGCTAACTGTTCCAGCCACTTCCATTACCATTCACCTTACCTTCTGCCATGGCAGTCTGCCTACAGGTCGCTGGCAAGCTGTCCGTCTCTAAGACCTAGTCCATGCCTCTTGTCTACCTGTTTGCTTCTCTGCTCTGTGCTCTGCGTGTTGAAGTCCTTTCCATCCTTCAAAACACATCTACAGTTGCCTTAATTCTAAAATGTTTCCTGATATCTCACCTGGAACAGTAACTAATTACTCTCTCCCTAGCACTTACCTGGCTGTACTTCTGTTCCTCAGATGAACTCCTATCATTGCATATAGCACTTTAGTAAAGACAGTCATTCCTCTATTTCTCCCCCACCAAATGTAAGGACAGAGGAAATCTCCTTTTCATCTTTGCATCATCATAATCTACATCCCTGCCTGAAGAGATTATCCACATGAAAATAAATATTGTTTAAAAAAAAACCACCTTCTAGTTTAGGAGGTATTGATTTATAAATAAACACATGTATTAAGTTAATATGGTATTAAAAGTTATGCTTCCAGGTTGCTGTCTATAAAGAGAATTTTATAATTCAGTGCTTTTGCAAAATGTTGACTGCAGCTCATTACTGGGTAGTTACATTAATTTAATGGTTTGTATCCATTTAAAAAAAATGAACTAGAACATGATAGAGTAAGAGATATCAGGGTAAGTATTGTTTCAGAAAATATTTTTTCATATACACACATACATATATATATATACTCACATGATGTAAACTTCATTTCTTTTCTTGGTCAAACACATTTAAAAGACTGAATATATTTTAAATTTATAATTATATTTTATTTCCTTTTTTAACAGCGAAATACATTCATTGCCTATTTAAAAAACCTTGCTGGGTAACTTCTTAGGTCAAACTTTTAGAAGTCATTTAACTGTTGATACTAACCATGCTCTTACAAACCAAAGCAGCATCATATGCTTTTCAAATATTTATTTTTTATTTTTGAGTAAGCCAGCATTTGGGAAAAAATACTTTAAAATAGTTCTAGCAAAACAACTTTTTTCTACTTCCTTTTGCAGACCTACCTAAAAAACAAAGATTTCATGCTTACAATTAGCTTTCTTATGTATAATGGTCATATTGATTCATCAGTTCAACATATATTTACTTAGCTACTAAAATGTTACAGGCACTGAGAATAACAAAATGAGCAGAAACAAAACAAATTAAGACACCTCAAAGTATCCTTGAGGTTGGGATATTTCAGCAGAGCCTACCATTGTGAATTGAAGGGTACTGTGCAGAGAACCATTTGGGATCTAAAACTGCTCTAAATATTCATGAAAAAAAATTTTTCCCAAATGATCTATGGTAAAATATCTAGTTAAAATATCAACAATAAGTATTAGCTCATGTATTTTAACATCATATTACTCTCCTTAATTAATCTTAGAATATTTAACAAATTAATGAGTACTCTATTAATTTTTTATTATAAAAATATTTCCTAATTTTACTTTAATGCTCACAATATATATTATGTATAGAATGTGTGTGTTATGAACATCTGGAAGTGGGTTAACTGTCATGCAACGGTTCTACATCTGCTTGCTTTGTAACTTTGCCATAGCTACCTGCGTTGCCCTATGGGTATGAACTCAAATCCTTTCATGCATTTTTATTCTGTTGTGTGTTTGGTGAAGACAATGAAGCATGACTTATAATTGGAAAATTCATGCTAATAAATGTTAATTGCTATTTCAACCAAAAACAAAGCAGGATTTATGCAGAGTTCAATAAGGATCTTTCACATACAGAGCCGCCTGCATTTATTATATGGAGGACATGCTGCTAATTATTATTTTTTAATGTTTCCAAATAGGCTGTGCTAATTCCATCCCATAGCATGAGATTATTTTTTATATTATTTCTGGTATATTTCAAAAGATAAAGGTAGTTTTGTATTGTACTGTTTCCTGTGACCAGTAATATTCTATGGGGGAAAGAAAAAGAAAAAAAAAAAAAAAAAAAGGAAAGAAAGAAGAAAAGAAAAAAAAGTGTTTAGATAGAAGAACCATTGAGCTGACATTATATGTCAGTCAATTTGCTTTTGAGAGCAGGGCCTAGACAATTAAACTATTTGTATATGTTTTGCATTTCTTTGTTAAAAAAGAGAAAAGATAAGAAAAACAAACAGAATATATAAGGTAAAAAAATACCCTTTTTTTTAAATTCAAGGGGATGAAGTTCTAGAATGGAATGGTAAACCCCTGCCGGGAGCTACAAATGAAGAAGTTTACAACATTATTTTAGAATCAAAATCAGAACCTCAAGTTGAAATTATTGTTTCAAGGCCTATTGGGTAAGGCTAAAAAAACTTACTTCTTAAGTTTAGTAAATTACATGTATTAGCAGGGTTTTAAAAAGAAGTTTATACATTCATACAGTACATGTTAACATGGATAGTTTTTTCTTCAAATATGGGCATACATTTTAGATTTTTTAAAATTTCTTCATTTTTTAAACTTGAGTACTGAATTTTCTTCACTACGTTTTAGAAGCTCCACAGTTTAACACTTGTAATATCAAAAAATATTGATATGTATTTTTCAGAAGTGAAATATAAACTAAAAATATTTTCTTTTAATGACAGAACTATTTACTTTTAGTAATTCTAATTTAACGAGTAGTATTTCCTTAAAGGGAGTCACTAACAAAGGTGTCTTTTATGACATTTAAAATAGTAATTGTTTCATGTCTACATGAACTTTTTATTATTTTACTAAGAATGGAATATTTTTTCTATATTTTTACCGATGGGTAGTGCCAACTTTCATTTAAAATCAAGCAAGTGTGAAATATTTCAACTTTATAGCTGGTCATAATAATTGTTATAATATTTTTTAAACTTCAATTTTTAGCATAATTTAATAATCTACAGCCAGTGGGATATTTTTTATATTTGTGCATAGAGTTCCCCACATTAGTTAGCTTTTGCTGACTAATGCACAAAGTCCAAATATTCTTTTTGCCAGTCTGTCATTTTTTGGAAGACATTTTAAATTGTCTCATTATAGTTGGCTTGATATTTAAATATATTTTTGGAAATAATTCCCTTTTTTTCCCCTATTCTCTAAAATATTATAGAGCCATTAGTTCAAGACTTTTTATGTTGAAAAAATAGTAGCCTTAAATTTTTGTTGTCCTCATGTGTATCTGTCAATGCAAAACATACAAGAAAATATAATTATCCTGATTTTCAAAGGGCTGAAAATGTATTATCATATATTTCAAAGAATAATATTAATATATATAAACTCTAAAATAAAAGCAAGATTATAAACAGTTTTAAGTGGTGATTATTAAGAGTAAACATTGAAGACATTTGCAAAAGTATTGTACATTTCCATGCAGATTTTTTTAAATAGCAACACTATATAATTCATGCTAGTTTTACATGACATGTGTTCTAGTGCTGAGGTAAATATGAGACTGGAAAAGAGGTAAGTAAATTGGAAAATGAGTCAAAAGTATAAAAAAAATTAAAATCAAGCATTGTACACATTGCCAAATACTTTCAGATATGTAGAGGTTTAAAAGTAATCAGCTAAAATATTGATTTATGGTAACTTTAAAAAAAACTAACAGACAATTAAAGTGGACTGGAATAACATTTTCATTATTTTTACTTCTGTATGAAAATAATTTAAAAAGTAATAATCTGCATAGACAAACTCTAAATTCTCATGGATTATGGAATTCAAAGAAATATGGAATGCGAAGATTATATTTAAATAAAAATCAAATCTGGCATCAACTTTCCAGTTAATAGCGAAATTATTAGAATCCTAGAAGAATAATTCTAGCTATATTTAATATTATGTTTAATGTAGTTCTATGGGTCATTTAAAGCAGAAAGCAATATGTATTCATAGTTTAGTGGTATAGTAATTCCATGAATCATTCCAAATATAACTTATATGCACTTTGATCAGTATGGTCTAAGAAATATAAGCCATCTTGAGGTATTGACCAATTTTACCAACCTACCAAATATAATATTCTTGGTATTTATGCTTATAGTTGGTATCAGATCTATTCTATCACCTTACTTGTGAGTGGAATGAGTAGAACTAATTAAGAAGACTTGTTTGTAGACATGGAAATTTATGCCTAAAAATATTACTGAAGCAATTAACATTAATATATTTTGATTCAAAGTCACCTTAAAAATTTTTTTTACAACTTCTCCATCTTTCCTTCCCAGACACATAAAATCCAAAGCTTGTGCCTGGTTTTAGAGTTCCAAATTCTAATTTCCATAATTGACTTTGAGGCTGATTTTCAAAGTTGTACTATCTAAAAAATTATTGCTTCTAGATTTTCTAAAAATCTACTTTTATTTGCCTAGATAAATTTAGAAGAAGGTAACAGGAGATAAATAGTTGGTTTCTTGAGTCTTAGGTATTGAAGATTAGTCTCTTAATTATGAAATACTTATTTTATACCAATCATTATTCAAAAATTTGTGATAAAATGTATTTATAAAATACACAACACAAGATGTATTATCTTTGTAAGAAGTATAATATTATAGGTGGTTATGAAAATTACTCAAAAAAAGTGAAAATGAGGAGTCAGGAAAATAATCAGAAAAACTGTTTTTGTTTCTGTTCTCCACCCCCCAAAAGTGCAAAGAAAAGTCAAAGTGAAGTTAGGTCACAGGTAAGTGGTTAGAAATTCTTAAGTAATGCTCTAGCATTATTCTAATAATTCTGTTGGTCCTAGCTAACTCCAGTCTGCTTTAATATGTCATGTTAATACTTGCGTATTGTTAATCTCCTTAAATTGATACTAAACTATCTTTGAAAAACCAGAGGTAAAGTAGTTATATGTAGTACACTTCCCAAACCAAACTGGTCCAGGGTTCTTAAGGTCACAGTGGATAATGGATTAAGCTGAGGTTATAGTAAACATTTATTCAGAGTAATTTGTGAGTGTGACAGGAATGGGTGTTCTCACGAGTCACTTTCTAATCATACAGTAAATGGCCATATATTTAGTTAACTTCAGTATAGAGATATAAATCTCTATATAGGGTTATATATGTGTATATGAATTATATATTCACATATATAAAATATTTTAGCTTTTTTGTTGCAAGCTTGAACCATTTTTAATTTCCAAAGCAATTCATCCTTTTCATTTTATTAACTTTGCCCATGATATTCACCATATTATTTTATTATCAAGAAATGTTTTCATCCCTTTCATTCAGTAAACTCTTTCAGATGTGTTTGTAAAGCATATTACTGATTTGTAAAATATGTGTCATTTTGATTTTCTAGAATTGAAATAAAATATTACCTTTAACATTTTTTTATTTCCAAAACCTGCTGTTTTGGTAGTAAAAATATTGTGGTAATTTTAGCCACAATATTAGTCTGATTGTTGTCATGTTGAAGTGTTTTGCTGTTAAATATATAAAAACTTATTTTTACTGCAGTTTGTGTGTGTGTGTGTGTGTGCGTGTGTGTGGTGTTTGACATTCATGCACATTAGTAATTGCCTTGATAGTAACTCCTGTCCATTTCCACACCTGTAAAGACCCAAAAGGATTGTTCACACCACTGAAATAAAATGTGGTTGTGATCGCCTCAGGCAAGGTAATTTAGCTAATGGGATTTTCACCATACCCTGTTTCTTTTAGTGACATTCCACGGATTCCTGAGAGCTCCCATCCTCCACTGGAGTCCAGTGAGTATAAGATTTATTTGTTATTATAATATGTATTGAATGCAATTGAAGAATAAAGATTTACCATTTGCTTTAGTTATTTGATATAAATGAATTGGTGTTACTATACTAAGGTTATCTCCAGTAATGTCAGAAGTAGGCAACTATGACAATCATTGGAAACCCAAAGTTCTACTTTAAGATTTTTCTTTTTCTACTTTTTTTTTTTTTTTTGATGGCTATGCAAAAATCTTAACTGGCAGTCCCCTCTGCATCATAACAGGCAGGACCCTCACAGAGCTCAGTTAATATACCAGTACTAGTTATGTTTGCTGTACATAAAAATGTATTGTGATACTGGATTATTCATTCTGATTGGTAATTAACTCATTAGTCTCATGAGCTAGACTTCAAGTGAGGGAAACAAGCACATTAACAGATATTTTAAAAACAGCCTAACATAAACACAGGGTATTGTACGTAAGTGATGAATACTGAATTCTACTCCAGAAACCAATATTGCGCTGATGTTAACTACCTAAAATTTAAATTAAAATAATAATAACAGAATTTTAAAAAATAAAAATAATAAAAAAAATTAAACAGTGTCTGGTATGATCGTGGAAATGAGTGGGTGGAGTAGAGGTGAAGTTCAGTGGGCATAAGGGGGTCAGGAGACAGTGAGGCTAGAGGGTTAAATTATCTACATAGCCATTAAAAGACTCTCCAGGTGGGGTGCCTGGGTGGCTCAGTTGGTTAAGCGACTGCCTTCGGCTCAGGTCATGATCCTGGAGTCCCGGGATCGAGTCCCGCATCGGGCTCCCTGCTCGGCGGGGGGTCTGCTTCTCCCTCTGACCCTCTTCCCTCTCGTGCTCTCTCTCATTCTCTCTCTCTAAAATAAATAAATAAAATCTTAAAAAAAAACAAAACAAAAAAAAACAAACTTAAAAAAAAAAAAAAAGACTCTCCAGGTGATAGAAGATGACAGTGTGTGCAATGAAGTCTAGACAGGTAATGAGGTTTTCAGTGAGAATGTGAAAGTGATGCAGATATTTACTCTGCAATGGATTGGCATTAATTTCACAATACCTTGGGCTTGATGATCAAGTGTTCTTAGGTAACCCATTTATGGAAATACAAAATACAAAGTGATTTAAGAGGAAAACAAGTGATCATGGTTATAAGGAGGTAGAAAATATGTGAATGGGATAGACAAGGAACTAAAGATCAGCTTAGTATATTGAATGCAGACCAACATGCATGCCTGCTGGAGATGAGCCCATATTTGGTTTTGAGCTTTCTGATAACTAATACATAGAGGGAAATGGGACCAATTGCATAATTTATATCTGATACTATTTAAAAATAAACTGTTATAATATTAAAAACAAACTGATTATTAGAAGCAACAGTGTTCTTGGACGAAGACCCAAGAAAAAAAATTATTCTAAGGATACTTGAAAAAAGAAGCACAGTAACAAAGAATTTTATAGAATTCTTTCTTGAAGTGTTTGGAGGACACAGAGTGATGCTGTGTGGCTTAACTTAGACTTAATTTGTGTGTATAGAAAAAAATGTGTGGATGACATACCCTCAGGCAATGCTCCATAAGTGTTTATCAATAAAGCTAAATTTTGAATGGCTGTGGGTTCAAGGTTATACTTGCTGGGGTAATAGCATTCCATGCATTGTGTCAGGGTATACTTTAATAGTAATCTGAGAAGAGAGAACTCTCATTTTAAAAAGAGGGGAGAAAAGCCACACTGAGTGGCTAAATGGAAAGCCAGCCTTCTCCATGTGAAGGTGAAGTGGGTCTCTTGAGACAACATTCTCAGACATTCAAGAGATTCATTTTTAAGATCAAAACTGCGATAGATGGGGGCAGGGGGTGCCTGGGTGGCTCAGTAGGTTAATCGTCTGACTCTTGGTTTCGGCTCAGGGTCATGAGATCGAGCTCCATGTTGGGCTCCCCGCTCAGTGGGGAGTCTGCTGGAGATTTTCTCCCTCTTCCTCTCCTTCTGCTCCTCCCCACCCCACTCCTGCACACATGCTCTCTCAAAATAAATAAATAAATCTTTAAAATAAAAACTGAGATAGATGGTAAATCTTATTTTAAAAGGAATGAATTCTAGGCTTAGATGTGGCTCATAAATTATATGTGAATTCATTTTAATTTCAGCAAGGACAGTTCATAATAGATAATTCTTTAGCCAAGATAATTAAAATAATAGGCACCATCTTTCTTGTCACTAAAGCATGAAGCCTTTATCTACATGTAAGGTTATGCCAGAAACTAAACTGTACAAATACACCCCAGAAATACAGAAAACCAATATTAAATTGGAGCAAATAAATAAAATATTTAATTATATCATTTTAAATCCTTTAAAATAGGCAAGTGACCGAAGAAGACAATATGATCATTTTCTCTGACTATCCAATTAAAAGTAGGTTTACTTTTATTGATGATATTGAATTATAGTTTTATACAAATAAAAGGTGCATTTAACATTTCATAAAAAAAATCTTTATTCTCACACACATTATAAATGTAATATAAAATAAATTAAACATAAATTTTTATATTTTAAAAATATAAATTATATTAAAAATAAATTAAAAATATAAACAAAAATTACTTAATTTTTTTTCTCATTTTAGGTTCAAGTTCCTTTGAATCTCAGAAGATGGAAAGGCCTTCTATTTCTGTTATTTCTCCAACAAGTCCTGGAGCTCTAAAAGATGCCCCCCAAGTCTTGCCAGGACAACTTTCTGTATGTATTTTTCACACATGTTGGAACCGTTAGTCTTTGCTCATTGTTTTGAGTCTGTCCTTAAAAATGAAGGTCATTTGTCCTTTAAATGTACCCCCAAATTTTAAGTCTTCCTTCAGATATATGTCATATATTTAACACCATAATCTATTTCACAATTTTGCATGTATTTATTAAATTATTAGATTAGTCTTTATTCATATTTTTATCTGGAAATATTTGTTGAGTGCCTACAATGTACCCAGATGTTGTAAACATTCAATGATAAATGACAACATAAGTAAATAAAATACCCATTATGTTTTGTGTGCTATATAAAAGTTTCTAAGGTAAGTAGTTGGTTGGACATAATCAACTCAGAAGGTCATGTTCCACTCACTTAACAACCTTATGAGCCTGGAGGAAAAAAAGAATTGTAAATACTCTTTTTAACTTCTTGAATCATTTGATGAAACACTTCATTTCTGATGTCATTCTGAAAAAGCTACAGTTTTTCTTACTGTTGCTTTATATATGACGTGGGGAAAGCCAGAGTAAAGAAACTATGGCAAACCATTATGAAATGCCACATCTATGTAGATTATGGTACAAGACAGGATATTTATATTCGTAACTAAAAGAAAACTTGCTTCAAACTATTCTATAAATAGTTTACTTTTTCTCCTTTGGTAATGTGTGGATTTCTATAGTCTATTTTTGCTGCTCTTCTCTTGGCATTTAATTAAACAAAGAAGGTAACTGTAAGCTTGCTGTTATTTTTAAAACCATTCCTGTTTTTAACTTCTATTTTTAGTAAATTGAATATCTTTGTATAGTCCTTTCTGTTTATTTTATCTGCCCTGCCCTGTGTGTGTGTGTGTGTGAATCTCTCATATACTCCACCAATATTTTAGGAGGGATAAAAACCTGTTTTGGTTTTATGAAAAACACATCTCTGTTATTAATTGAGAACAGAGATAAGGATTCATATGGATTCAGGTTTGAATCTTTAATCTGCCCTGTACTATGAAAGACCAATCATATGTTAAATTAGTTTATTTTTTTATAATGACTTTTAAATATGTTCAATATATTCCCATTAGACAACTTTTGCTCATAGTTCTTACTCAACCATAGAACTAACTTTTAAATTAAAAAAAATAGTAATGTTAACATTGTTCACTGCCAGCACAAATACTATATTGACTGCTAAAGTTCTGATTTTTAGGAGTTTGATGGTATTTCAGTGTACCATTTTCCCATTTTTCTCTATTCAAACTACTATGAAATCTTAGTAGAAATATCATTATTTGGCCTTCACTTAGTTGAGGGTATGTAATGTACCTTTCCTGCCTTCCTTGTTCTTTTCCCCTTCTCTCATGAAAATTTACCTGTAATAGGTTAATTATAAAAATTAAATGGGAAAAAAAATAGAAAACAGCAGTACCTGGTATAAAAGAGGCCCACAGTAAATATGTTTCCTGATCTCTACCAAATCACTTGTGTAAATTGCTTATTCATTAAACCTCATTCCAACACGCATAGTACTACAAAATGCATTCAGCCACACGAAGATCATCAAGGCATTTATAATCACCAAACACTGGCACTTAGCACTTAAAGATGAGGATAATTGTTTTAATACTCCCTTCTTCCCTTACTTTTTTATAAAATTTTTATCAGTTTTATTTTCATAACCGGATATGAGAGAGTATGACACTATAGCCTTGCCCGTTGTAAGTCATGTTTAAAATACATAAAGAGAAAAGTCAAGTTATAAGTGGTTATGCTTTCCAGTTGGAATTCTTTTCAGAAATAATATTTATAATTATATTGTAATTTAAAAGTTCTTCAAAAATAGTTGCAGTACTTTTTTTGTAGAATTATAATACCTCATGACTTTTACAAATAATTCCTTTCTTCATTGATCTTAGGTGAAGTTGTGGTATGATAAGGTGGGACACCAGCTGATTGTAAATGTTCTTCAAGCAACAGATTTACCGACTAGAGTAGATGGGCGTCCCAGGAATCCCTATGTGAAAATGTATTTTCTTCCAGATAGAAGGTAGTGAATAATTTTAGAAAAATATGCAAAAATTCTTACCAATAGAAAAGGTACAATATCATCTCCTGGGATATAGTTTTATTTATTTTTAAAGCCTTATCAAGGTAAAATTGATATACCAAAAATTACATATAATTAACATGTACATTTTGATGAGTTTGAACATATGCATATGCACACCTATGATATAATTTTAAAATATAATAAATCATTCTCTATGAGGGAATAAACTATGTTCTCCCTGAAAAAAAAAATCCCACAAGCTTTCTATTTTTTAAAAAATAATGTACCAATTTAAAGTTTTTTCATTACCTTGTTTATACATCTATTAGTCTTGGATGGCTATACATCATTTAGAATGTACCTTTGTGTATGTATGCCTATTATCCCAACTACTGCTAACATTATAGTTAAAATTAGAATAGTGTTAAACCCTGCAGTCTATTTAGACTTATGTTAAAAGTTATGAATTAAAAATAGTAAAAAAAAAATCCCAGGAGCAGTATTACATGTCACTACAATAGATGGCAGCAGATACTTCATTTTGCTTTTTCATCTACAAGACATACTTATTTTTCTGTTGACATACTTATTTTTCAGTGATAAAAGCAAAAGGAGGACCAAAACAGTAAAGAAAGTCCTAGAACCAAAATGGAATCAAACATTTGTCTATTCACATGTACATCGTAGAGATTTTAGAGAACGGATGTTAGAAATAACTGTGTGGGATCAACCAAGAGTACAAGAAGAAGAGAGTGAATTTCTTGGAGAGGTGACGTATCTTGTAAAGATTCAAGCCAAATACTTAACGGAAGTTTCTGTGATATGTACTAATTACGGTTGCTTTTATATTATGTTTTGGTCAAGACACTTGATTTAATTTAAGAACTGCCCTTTCAGATCCTCATAGAATTGGAGACAGCACTTTTAGATGATGAGCCACACTGGTATAAACTTCAGACACATGATGAATCCTCACTACCTCTGCCTCAGCCATCACCTTTCATGCCAAGGCGACACATTCATGGAGAAAGCTCTAGCAAAAAACTACAAAGTAGGTTAAAGTTATTTTTAATTAACCAGAATTAGTTATGTGGTCATGATCAAATTAGAGATTGACATTCAAGGTATTTTTCAAATGTTTATTAGAGATCAAAATATTGAGAAATTATTTATCTATATAGAGACTTGACAAAACTATTTTCTGCATTTCCCTAATGAAAGTAATATGTATAGTACAGTAGAGTGATTCCAGAGCTGAAAGTTTAAAAACTCTGAATTATCATTCTTTGCCCAGTACTGACTGAGTTGTTGATTGGTGTACTGATAGAGTAATTTTTTTTTATTATTAATGGGTTGTTACATATAAGGTTCTTGATAACTTTATAGTTGCTGGGTATTTTTAGTATTATTATTCATAAGAAACATTTTTAAAAACACATTGTAAAGTATGTTTGTTGTTACTTATCTGGTGATTGGGAAAAGAGTATTCTTTTCTGCATGTGTCCATTAAATTTTGAGTTATGACTAAATAATAAATCAACTGATACTTAGAACCTTCTTTTTGGTAATCTAGAACGAAATTGTTTTCCTCTTATAATTCAACATTTCATGTTAGTACCTCTCTGATCAATCATTTTCTCAAAGTTAATGTTTAATGCAATATAATGGCTAATTTTGAAGGATAAACATAAATATTTTATCAAGAGCCGTGACATCCTTTTTAGTAATATGAGCTTAGTAGAGTTCCAGCCAAGAAAGTCTTTCAGCCTTCCCACCGAGCCCCATCCTCCCATCCTCCCAGAACAGTGGAGGAGGGCGCCTAATTGAGCAGAAAACAGTGTATACACTTCGCTATAGGCTTTTACTATAATACATTAATTAAAGAAAATTTGAAAAATTAAGTTATTAAAGGGAGGAAATACTGAGAAAATGTTATCTTTGGAGAACAAACTTTAAAAAAAAAATCAGCTCAGCGTTTACTTTGTGTTATTCTTGTTCAAAAGTATTCAGTAGTAATGTCGTTAGCCTTTAAAAAAAATTTGACCATGTCCTTTACATTTCATAAACCAAAAGACCCAGAGGTATCTGTTTGCCTTATTGTTGTACAGGATCTCAGCGAATCAGTGATAGTGACATCTCAGATTATGAGGTTGATGATGGTATTGGAGTAGTTCCTCCAGGTGCGTGGGTGAAGAGCATGGCTCTGCTTAACTGTGCTTCTTATGCTTGTGTTCACTGTCAATTTCCAGACTTATCTGGGATACTGAGCTGGAGATTTGTAGCACAGAGAAATCAGTATTCTATTATTCCATGGTGACTTGTGTTCCAAATTATTAAGAAAGTTTAAAATGGACTAATAACTATTCATTAACAGTCCCACTTATTTAATTTAGTCAGGTTCTGTTGTAGAAGCTAAGATGGCTAGCTAGGTTGAAATCATTCTTTCACAATGCTCTGAGCATAAGCAAAAATACGAATTTCATTTTGAAAGGATATGGTTAATTTTCTCAAATAAAAATTCCATTCTCCTATGTTTTATATTGTATGCCTATGATTTTTCCTTCCTCTGTTTCTGAAAATAATGTAGCCTTCCATGGAATATACTGAGAAAGGTGCATGGCAGGGTTTAAAACTGCATGTGGCATGGCTTAACTTTTAATGCTTTTGTGATGTGTTTACCACTTATACCTAGAATGTATATGTACATATTAAAATAAGGAAATGCTTTAGAGAGATTCAATATTCATTTTAAATTGACATCTTTTTGTCACTGTCAAGTTAGTAAAATTTTTGTGGCATTATGTGATTCAAATCTATGTTTCTCATCTGACTCTCATCAGAAAGTGAGTAAAACCAAGTAGTAAAGGCTTATTTTCTTGGCACTAATCCTGTGCTATTTCCTTGACTTACTAATAAAAAGTAAGGAAATACCAAATAAGAAGTAAAGAGAAAATCTTGGGACGTATAAATATGAGTTATTAAAGGCATTTCTTTAGGACAGTAATGACATATGACCCCTTAATTTATGTGATTTCTCAGATGGAGATGCACTTAATTTGAGGGCAATGATTTTGACAAAGTCAGTAGACAGATTCCACATTAAATCTAAATGACTAAATTCACAATTCAAAGAGAAACATACAACTTCTTTAAAACTAGGAGAAATTATGGAGAGTTCTCTAAAATTAGGTTTCATTTGCTTCCTATAATTCAGAGAAAATATAGTCTTTAATCACTGTATGACATTAGCAAATATTTTTAAAAACAATAAACCTGGTGCTGTTCACATCTATATTCTTAGATAATACTCTCTGATATCAGACTGCAGGAGTTTTAAGTATTAGTGGATAAAATTTCATATTTTCTGTTTTGTTTGTTTTTAAAAGTATCATAATAATGAGACACATTCTCCACAGAAACTTTAACACAACATTCAACAGAATATTTGTCTTTTATAAAGTTGAAAGTGGAAAAGTGATTGTACATTAAATCCACTGACATATTTAAATAGGAATCAGATGATTCCTGGTAGGAAAGTCATCAAGCCTTTCTAACAAGAATCTTGACTATTAATCAGCATTAATGTGGTCATTACCAACTCATCTAAACAGAATTTACTTCTGTGTGTGGTTCTCAAGTTTTATTCACCCAAAATTTCATATTTTTTAATGATGAGGCAACAGCAAATGGATAAAAGAATAAATGACCAATTGAATAAATACTAAATTACTAAAATGGTGAGTTTCCTTTCATTTCCCTGAGAGATCACATAGATAGCAGCCAAAATGGGAGTTACAGGACCCACTACAATTGGAATTAATGCTTGGATACCACTAAAAAACATGGAGTTTTAAAAATATTTGTATTCTGTACTGAAATATACCATATCATGATTTTTATAAACATATATAATCTCTTTCATCATATAGAAGGAATGCCTAAATTGTCATTTCAAATAATATTCATTTTTATTTAACATTTAAAAGGTAATGAGGCAGGACTCTTATAAGAATGTAACAAATCAATAATCAATAAGTAATATTTTATGTTCCAGAGGTCTTTCATAAGTTAAAAAGGGAGACAATGCAATTAATTTATATTTTCAGGTATACTCTTCATTGATACAAAAGGGATGTATGGTAGCTTCTGAAGGGATATAGGTGTGGGCGATATAATATAGCAAGTTACACAGTAATATACAATACATTTTTTGAAAAAGAAGACAGGTGAGGCATTGGTAAAATAAGGGCAAGCAGCAAAAATAAAATGAAAGGATAAGTTAATAAACAAGCAGGTGGATAAATTCTCCTATGCTTTTAGAGATAGATTACAAATTTTTTACCATGTTTCCTAGCATCCAATATGAAGAGAGATTTGTTTAGATGTAGATACTAGTTCTACATATGTTCAGTGTACTCTGAAGTTTCTGGTTCTCTTTCCTGAAGTTCAAAAGCTTAATTTAGATGTCCTACCACAGCTGAACCTTAAAATTTCTAATACTTTTGCTTTTCTAGGACCACAGAGTTCTGTGCTCTGGTTTGATGTACTTATTACTATCTTTCTCCACTGAGGGAAGCCTAAGGTTCTAAAAGTAGCTGAGAAGCTCAGAGCTACATTTTATTAACTTTATCATAGCTTTGTTGTTATTTAAAATAAGTAATTTTAGCTGCTTAAGAAGAATAAAAATATGCAGAGTACCCTTATGTGGGGCAAGACACGTGGTAACCCCAACTTTTCTGAACATTATTTGAAATTCAGAAAGTAAGAAACAAACATAAATACACTCTTTGAGTTAACCAAAGCATTGAAATGAGCATAAAATAGCAGTTTCCTCCCACCTTTTACTGAAGGTAGAGAATATGTGTTATCAACAATAAATTAAACATAATACAAAGAAAACCAAATTAATTTGAAAAGCATCAAAAAACTATGTATACAAATTAGGATAGGATAAAAAAAGAAAGATACTACTTTCTATGTAAATACAAAGAACCCGTGAAAAAAAATCAGTTATACCCTTCTAACAGTAAGATGTCTAAATTCTCTAAGTTATTTCCTAATAGTTTTATTATATCAAATATGAAAGTGTTATTTATATACCTGGAATATTCATTGAAATCTTGAAATGGTGCTCCCAATTCAATCTTGACCTTCCATAATTATTGTATGATTGATACAAAAAGTTATCAAGTGATATCAAATGGTAATTTGAAGTGTTTAAGTAATTCAGACCTTGGATTAATTATCTTTAAAAATAACCACCATTTTTTATAATGAGCTATGAAATAAATTCACTACATGTAAATTTACTTGGTTTCTTTCTAAACTTAATATTACAATTTATACACTTGAACAATGACAAAGAAACTTTCCTATGTGGAACTCAAAATAATAGCTTAATTGCTATGATTTTTGTTATAAAATGAAGTATGTGAAACTATAAATTATAACATTTATGGTTACATTATTTGGCCATTATACTTAACGTTTTTAGAATGACAGAATGGTTAGGCATCTCTGATCTTGATATTATCATTTTGAATTGTCATTCATAATCATTTATGAAATGTTTAAAGACCTTTCTTATTCGTTAAGCTTAGTTAAAAGATCATACAATCACAACAAATAAATTATTGGAGAATTTTAGTCTGCCTTTCATAATGATGTTTCATGGCATATTTTAAAATAATGTAGGAGTTATCAAGTAAATAAATGAAGAAAAGTTCAAGCTGCCCAGTTAAATTTAATGTTTTCATGTTTCATGTACTTTTATGTAGTTGTAAATATAATTATTTTCCCTTTGGCTACAGAATTTTTTATTTTCCTTTCAATAATAGCAAACAATGACCCTTGTGGAAAAAAAAAATTAATTAACTGTTACTTGGATTTAAGATTGGATTACTGTTTTATCTTAACTAAGTCAGAGATGATATAAACCTTTTTGTTTCAAGGGAGAATGAATTTAGAATTTATTTTTAATTGCAGTTATGTTAACTGTATTAACTAAATTATGTTATCAACACATTTTGTGGAATAGTTTCAGATGTCTGAGGTAGATTTGACGATTGTTTCTATAGGAGGGTTAATTTTCTCTGCATTATTGCCATAGTCATCCCCATCCATACACTGTTTTCATTTGAAAATTATGGCATTATATGTAGTTTGCAAATTGAGTGAATATTTGTAATAGTGAAGATCTTACTACTCTTTGTTAACAAAAATTGATATGATAACTTTTCTTTTTTGCAAAGACATCTGAAATCCGACTAAAATAGTTTATCCTTTGGAAGAAAAATTCAAATAACATTTAAAGAGACCTCAAATTTCTAAGCATTGACTTATCTATTAACTATAGTTCACTGTCAATGAAAAATCACTAACTCATCATTTTTTAAATTAAAATAGTATCCCAGCTCATCATAACATCTGAGGCATCAACTGTCATATTCATATGCAGTATCTCCATGGGCACCTTTGAACAAATCTGTAACCTGTTTTTATGCATGTATATGTTACACTCTGTGTACGTATACTTAATAGTTTTGAAGAGAAAAGCTAATAATACTGATTGCATGGCATTTATTGTAGTAGGTCCGTGGCTGCTTTAGATATAACTTGATATTATGTTTACATTATAGAAGAATACTGACTGATTTTTTTGTGTGTACTCTTGCCAGTAGGTTATAGGTCTAGTGCTAGAGAAAGTAAATCTACAACATTAACTGTGCCAGAACAGCAAAGAACAACTCATCACCGCTCACGTTCAGTATCTCCTCACCGCGGCGATGATCAGGGAAGGCCGCGTTCACGTTTACCAAATGTGCCATTACAGAGGTAGGCTTTGAGATGGGCTTGAAGTCTCTGACAGTACTTTTTAATTTTAATACAATGTAACCTGCCACAAGACTGTTACTGACATGAAATAATGGTTTAGTCAGTCAGGTTATTTTTTCAGAATCATTTGTGGGCAAAATGTCTTTTTATTCATTACTCCATCTATATTACATTCTGTTCTTGAATCTCAAGAAACTTTTTCCACGAGTAGAAGTTTATGTCCCAAGCACGGTTTTTGAATAACTATCTTGTATTCTCTTGACTAGTTTTCTCTCCTGTTAGGAAGAATTGTATGATAATGAATAACTTGTGGAGAGAAATGGCAAAGAGGAAAAGCTTAAGAGGCAGAAAGTATTTTTAAGAAATTTAGAATTTTGGGGCGCCTGGGTGGCTCAGATGGTTAAGCATCTGCCTTCAGCTCAGGTCATGATCCCAGGGTCCTGGGATTGTGCCCCACATCGGGCTCCTGGCTCAGCAAGGAGCCTGCTTCTCCCTCTCCCTCTGCCTCCCCCCTGCTCATGCTCTCTCTCTCTCTCTGTATCTCTGTGTCTCAGAGAATAAATAAAATCTTTAAAAAAAAATTAGAATTTAGAAAAAAAATAATAAAAAAATTAGAATTTAGAAAAAAAATTTAGAAATTAGAATTGTCTCTTTGAAGCACTTTAAGTGCTTATAAAAGCATGTAAAACATAAGTAATGTAGTGCTATATTTTATCTTATCCTGAAATATACTTCTGAAATTTAAATTAAGTATGCAGATGAAAATTGTCCTTTTTTGACAGAGATGCAAAAGAAGGTTGGAGAAATGTAGCACAGGCAAAGCACTCATAGAGAATAAATACCTTTAACTCATTGATAAAAATATGCATTCGGTTATGATGCCAACACTTCTCAAGCCATGCCCGTTTTTTGCCAGTTACTAACACATCTTCCCCATTCGTCTGTCTGCCAGATTTGGGAAGATTATATACTTTGATGCATTTGTATTTTTGTAACCATTTTAGGAGTTTAGATGAAATTCATCCAACAAGAAGGTCACGTTCTCCAACTAGACACCATGATGCCTCCCGAAGTCCAGTTGATCACAGATCCAGAGATGTGGATAGTCAGTATTTATCAGAACAAGACAGGTATTTGTTCAAATTATGGTCTCAACATTATAACTTTTTATTTGCTCTGTTTTAGTATATGATAGATACCTTGGCATAGTACATCAGAAAGTAAAAGTATTTAATCATTCAAAACTGAACTCTCAAGGAACAGCTGTTAGGATATTCTAAAAGAAATGCAACTCTAGGAAATATTTGGCTAACATTATATTGTCATAATGTGTGCATTTGTTTACAAATTGAAATTTATGTTTAGCCAGTTTAAAATGTATTGCTTGTTGTTTCTAAATTATAGAAGGAAGCCTGCATAAGCAACTTTCAAATATTTTGTATTTTGTGGGTTGCAGTCTTTAGGATGTTATTTATGTAATTATAAAATTATGTTTTTTATGTTATTAAACAGTTTTGGATACAGGTCATCTGAAAGACAATGTTGCAGAGTTTCTGTGAGAGCTTCCCATAAAATGTCTATAAAGTATAAAATATATGAGATGGAGTTTTTCATATGGAAACATTCCCTGGACACAATTACTAAAAATCTACATTACAACTCTGTTGTTCTACATGCCCATAGACTTTCTTCTCAAACTAACCACATACCGGTGTAATATGCCAGACCACAAGCTCAGGATTTGATTTAAGGTTTTAGAATACTCACCTTGTTGAATATTCTCTTCTGGATTTTTAAAGTAGAGACACTTTCAGGAAGGAGTAGGGAAATCTTAGTGGTGCTTAATGATTGACTTTTTGCCATGTAGTCAAGGACACAGAACTCAGTAGGGCTTCTTAATCCTTTATTGTCATCCTACCGTGGGAAGGGGTGCCATGACCTTCAAGAGTGGAGTCATATTGGGTGCTGAGATAAGAGCTGCTCTGAGCAATAGGATTCCACACTGCTCAGCCTGAGTTGAGTTGAGTGAAGGCCACTTTGTCAACATTCATTGGGGGTCCCTTTGAATTTAGGTGAGGATGGAAAAAAAAAAACTTCTTGACCAGGGCATTTAACAAAGTGAAATTAATTTGAGCATAGAAAAAGTACCAGTTTTAAGATAAAACAATTCTAATCGAGTATATTCATGATTGGTTAAGAAGAAGCATATAGGATATTGCATTTTTAGTGTCTGTAAAAGTCAAGAGCACTCCATGCTTAGGGTTCCAATGAGTATCAGAAAGTCCAGATGTGTAGGCCTTTCAGAAGTTTTTAAAATATCCAAGTATCTGGAATTAGAATAGATTTTTGTGTCTTATTTGGGGAAGGTTTAGTTTAGTTTTGTTTTGTTTTAATATTCTATAAAGTCACTTGGAAATACAATAGCAAATCAACAACAGCTAGGACTTTGACCATGATGTTTGTACTTTATTGTTTAAAATTTTTTAAATACTGTCATGTTTATTTTTGTTTAACCTCTCGAGCAAATATGCTAGTGCAGACAATCTGGTTTCTTCCCTTTTCACGTTTTCATCGGCATACCATTGGCATAACCCATGTCATTTGATGCCTCATGATTTATCTGTTTCATCCACCACCCATCCTGTCTGTGCAGTGAGCTTCTTATGCTGCCCAGAGCAAAACGAGGACGAAGTGCAGAATGCCTACATACTACCAGGTAAATACAGGGATTTGGTAATGGTAACTGTGTGTGATGACTCTCTTTCCATTCTACTATTCTTTCTTCTCGCCCTTAAAGGTATTATTACAAATATGTAAAATTAATTTCCTAAGTATTCAAAATTTGTTTTGTTTCATTGGAGATTGTGGAAAGGTTCCAAATATATTTTTATTCTAATCCAGGCACACTGCTTTTCTACTTGTTTATTCAAAATCCAGAGACTTATGAGCCTCTGTGGAACTGTTTACACATTCCTAAAACCGAGGAACCGATTTCCGCAATTACAATTCAAAATGCTCATTGTGAGCGGCCCCCACCCCAGCCCCCGGCAGCACACACACACACCTGTCTAGTCACAGGAGGTCTGATCTGTGCATGGCAGTGTTATTGTTTTGATGATTATGTTTGTTTTAGCCTTTTTTTTTATCTCCTTTTGGAATCTACTATTGTTTATATATTGTTATATTAGCTTTTAGTAAAATCTTATAGCACTCATTTTTTTTACTGGCTGAACATCAGCTTCCTTCTTGATAAAGAATGAGAATATTTGACCTTTAACTTCTAAATCTTCCCTCCCTTCGTCCCCCCACCAGTTTAGAAGGGTTGTAATACAAACTTTCTCGTAAAAGCACACAACAATATGATGCCTCTTTAAAGATGAAAAGAAAAGGGGATGTAATATTCTCCTGTAATTTGGAGCTTAAAACCTGATACTTTATTTATGTCTCATTACATCTTGGATTTCATATCCAAAATTAATTGATTAATTAATCTCTTACAGATTACTCATAGAATGCAAGCTGTAAACATTTATTGTCAATTTAGAGTTAATAGAAGGTAAGGAAGTAGAAAGTCAGTGAAACAAACCAACACACAGACAAACTCTTTCAGATATTTTGGCCAATAAAAAGCAGTAGGAAAGAGCTATAACTGGAACACCTGCAGTGCAAGGACAAATGCAGAATTTATTTTGTCTGCATGGAACATGTGGCTCTGCTCAGTAATGCAAACGTGATCATGCTAATAAGAATTGTTTCAACTTCTTATATATATAAAATTATCCTACTGATAACTACTTCCATGTCTTCCCGTAGAGCCACAGGAAAAAAATGAGGAAATACTAGTTTTGATTATGAACTGGGGAAAAATATAAAATTATGAATATTGTAAAAATTATCTCACATTCTTTATAATGCTCAGCTTCCCAGGCTTCCTATTACTTGTTTTTCCTAACAAATAGTTTGTGGGTAGGAACAATGCGTTTACAAATTCAAAAAGTTTTTTTTCTCATAGTCTTATTGATTTGACTACAACTGTAAAATAATAAAATAAAATAAATTTAGACCAATGTCCTAAATAGAACAGCTAAACATATTTTTTCTCATATTTTCTACATATAAAGGTGAAATATCAGGATATGCAAAATATGATATATGGTAATTTTATCATTTTGTACAATCTTATCTTCAAACTACATCATATCATATTCACTTAGAAATTTTAAGAATAAAATTTGAGGATTTGCTACTTCTCAGCAAACAAGGAAAATAAAATTCATTGAGTACCAAGCATAGTGTTTTCATTAATGTACTTTATCTCAATTCTCTGGCAGTAATTATATGATACGAATGTTATTACCCTCATTTTACAGATGAGGAAAGATGCTGAGAAAGTTTAATTTGATAAGTAACAGAGCAAGGATTCAAAATCAGGTCTATTGACATTTTCCACTAAACTAGTTTTTCCACAGTTAGATTCTGTGGAGTTGGTGCTGTGCCAATAAAAGAGTTTGTGAGTCCAACAGACTTTGGAAACTTTGCAAATTATAGTCCCTCCCTGAAGATTTAGTATGCACAGCATGTTGGAGTCATACACTAAAGAAATCGGTCTCATGTTGTTTAATCCACTTTCTGCCTATTTATTTTAATAATTAATACATAATATTCAATTATATTTATAACATAATTATTATAACTTAATACTTATAATAATAAATATCTACTTAACCATTAAACCCTTTTTTTCATAAAAACATGACCTGAGAAAGTAATGTTGTACAGAAAATTCTATATATAGCTGCCTTACTATGTCCTGGATACTTTATATCTGTTATCTCATTTAATTCTCTGAGCACCCCTATTAAGTGGATGTTATTGCCTCTCTTATATAAACGTAGGAAAAGGCCCGACCTGAATTATCCAGGTTCATTGCCATTAAGTGGCAAAGCCAAGGCAGGAATTTAGGCCTTCATACTATGTATAAATGTTATGCTATCTTCCATTCTGTTTCACACTCTTTGCTAACCCTTGTTCAAGTATTCCTGAATAAACCACTTTTGAACCCATTGCTTTTAAAAAGTTAGATAGCAACCTATTGCTGAAGATATTTGCCTAAGTTGAAAAGAAGACTCTTGTCTGTGAAGCAGGCAAAATCCTTAGTTTCAGTAAAATCTGTCTTCAGTTAGTTTTCAAATATGGTACTCTAATATATTTTTAAACTGAAGCTTTAAGAGATTTCCTTTGATTTGACCACTAGTATAAATATGAGTAAACCAGTGGGGTGTTTGAATGTTTAGTGTGCCCTCAGCAAATGTATATTCCCTTCCCGATTTATTGTATTTTAATGTGAGCTGAAATAGACTTGGGACTTTCATAATCAGCAATTAAATTTGTAGAAACGTTATTAAATTGTCAAAAAATTAATTGATTAACTGGATCTAATTTGCCCTTCGTGTAGTACAGACCATCCAGAATCCCTCAGAGATTTTAAAATAATTCAGATAAAGTTGGGCTTTTTTCTGCCAAATCAAAATTCATATTCTAGTTTGCATCTATTGCCCATCTCATTGGATTTCCAGTGATAAATTTTATCTGTAGTTGGATTTGGATTCAGAGGCTAGTAAATGGGAGGGATTTCCTCCACTGCAGTCACTTGGTCTTTGGGTCTGGCCTTTCCTGACTGCAGCCTGGTCCCAAGACCAGCTTTCTCCCTGCCATGCTGGTCAGCTCTTGCTTATTGCTAGAATGTTAACTCTCTCAGTCAAGTTTTAATTCCCAAATTACATAAATTATTTGGTTAGTACATTTAGCTATGAGTTGTTTACTTCCACAGAAGCAGGTATAATATTAAATCAGGGATTAAAGCGTAAATTTAAATATTGATTAACTCATAGAGTTTTGTTAGCAGATATTTTTCAAATTAAGACAATTAAATTATAATTTTGAGTCTTTATCTTAATTATAAAGACTGATGTCTATGATTCCATATTTTAATAATTCTTACTCTAACTTCAAATAATTACTGTGGTTATTCTGAGAAAAAACAAAAGAGCTGTCTTTGTTTGTAGCTTTATAGGCCTCCTACTTTTTCTATGTCCTGGTAGAATTCGCTTCGTATATATTTTTCTGTTTCCTGCATGTTTGTGCTGCCACATTCCAGACATTTTGTTAGGCACTATGAAACATTACCACCGAAGATGCCTTGATTAGAGAACGGTTCTCACTGGAATATTTACAAGGAAGAGTCCTAACAGTGAGTCCCAGTTACAAACTAATCCTGAATCCCTGACCTACTAAAAATAACAAATTTAAATTTTAATAAAACACTAACATTTCTTCTTAAAAGTAATTATGCACAGAGAAACATTAAATTAATGATATCTAAAAATAACTTTAATTATAAAACTTACGAATTCTAGAATATTTCTCTAACTGAAATCTAACTACTCAAATATCAGAATTCTAGTTGTCTTGTCATTTATTTGTTGTTTTACCTGTTGATTTTAATTATGATCATTAATTTTATATTATTTTATTTTTGGAAAATTTTAATATGTGAAGCTCAATTCTGCCTGCACATACCAAAACCAAGTCAGTGACTAGACAGGACTTCCCCCTTCATCATGAATGCTTTCACTCAAGAGTATTGACATTTACTGATGAAATATTTGTTAGGTAAGAGCATTTGGAAGTCATGCCTTCCACTTCCCTTGTCTAGTGTTGTGAACCAAAATAGTTGAGTTGTAACTTTTTTCTCCTCCGATGTCCTTCATTTTGTTTTGGTGTGGCATCTGTTCTTGGTAACAAAGTTTTAGGCATTTTTGTTTTAGTGCTTTCTGTATCCAGTTTTTTCATAAGTAGGTGTGATCTAGTCTCATTTTTTTCAGTCTGAGACCCTTTTAAAAAATTATGCAAACCAATTTAAGCATAATCTTTGTTTAGTTTCATTTTCTAAACAAAATTTTGCACTGCCATCCTGTCAGCTCTCTCACACCCTTATGAACTGAATCACAGTGATTCTGCATTTTATGTAAAGGGGACATTATTTTATGCTTTACTCTCTAACATGGTCTTCCTTTCTTTGTTTTCTTTGTCTTTCTCTTCTACCACTGGATGCAATGCACTGGCACTAGTGAACTGCAGCCCTCCCTTGACAGGGCTAGGAGTGCTAGTACCAACTGCTTGAGACCAGATACTAGTTTGCATTCACCAGAACGAGAAAGGTATAAAATAAAGACTTTCTTAATTTCCTGTCATTTGTACTGGTGATTTTTTTCAATCACTTTGTTTCGTTTCATGTGAGTCTCACAGGTTTGTTCATTCATGTTCACTTTGCTAACTGTCTCCATCTCCCCCCTCCCCTTATTATACACATCTATGGAGGGAGATATGTGTATATGGGTAAGCCCAAGGCTGCACATACACATATCTCCATGAATGTTGTTGCAAATGGTGTGATATAATTTGTAACTGCTTCTGGCTTCTGCTTCTCCCCTTCTGTTGCTGTTTGGTGGTTTTATTTACACATGACTCAGGAGCCTTCAGTATGCTGATAACGTTATAAGGTCCAGGGAGTTATCGGAAGGGGGGAGGATCACTTTCCTATTAGTTCCGATGATAAATATATTGATGGGTTTTACATCAATCTTCCACAAACTTAAAATAAGAATTCTGTTTTGGTAGAAAACTTCCCTTGTGAATTTATATTCATTATTTAGTCAAGGTACTGTGATAGAGATCATGTTTCCCAGTAAGTTATATTTTGACAACAAAAAAAGGGTATGTTTATCTTAGATTTTCTGATGCCTTACAAAAATAAATGCACATTATATACACACACACACATAATTCTGCTTAACACTTTTAACTGATTGATTATTAAATAATTCTGATTTTACTTCAAATGTATTCAAAGTTTTTGTATTGCAATATCTCCTAATTCTGAGGAGCTAATTTTTTCATTATAGTGCAACTTGCTATCCCAGTAAACTTGGTTATAATTGATAGTCTTGGATGTAATTGTTATTTCTTTTCAATTAGAAGTCACTCACTGGAATTTGTTTACTACCTCTTTATAAATCCTGAAGAAAAACGTTTAGCGGTGCTAATGTGTAACCCACTTCTCCTCTTCTTCAGAGGCTGCTTTAAACTTTTTTTTAGCAATCTTTCTAGTTTGAATCTATTTATCTATTTATTTATAGGATTTTTATTTATGGATTACTATTTATGGGATTATTATTTCTGGACTTAAATAATAGGTACGGGTATACACATCCATTTTTAACTGTCTGCATATGATTCTACTGAATAAATTACTTTTTTATTTAGTATTCTTTTGTATTTGTATATTTTGTAATAGAAAACAGTGGAATCGAACTTATGTTACATTTTTTTATATTTGTAATAGAAGTTTTAGTTGAAATGGCTATAGGCTCTTCTAAAATCACAGTTGAAATTGTTTTTTTCTCTTTTGTTATATATTATCCGCCCCAAGAAAAAAAGTAAATACAAGAGTAGCAAGAAAAATCTTTTTATATGTTTTACTTATTTTTATTTCTTTATATGTTTCTGGTTGGTATTAAAACAGAATAGAATTGCTCAAGTCAGTAGAATATTCTGACTATAACAAGACCCTAACATTTTTAGTATCATTTATATAAGGTGCTAATAGAAATATAATGCAAGCCACATGTATAATTTTTAATTTTCTGGTTGCCATATTAAAAAGCTGAAATTAATTTTAATAATTTAACCCGGTATATAGATGAAATATAATTTTGACATACAATCAGTTAAAAACTATAGATACTCCTTTTTTTGTATTCCTAATAGCCACTTGTGGCTTGTGGCTACCATATTGGACACCACAGGTTTATTCTTATGCTAAAACCTATCTAGTATGTGTTCCCTTGTTACACTAAAGCCATAGAGTTCACAAATCTATGTGTTGGTGAGTTTAACCTCTCAGATAATACTCTTAAAATAGATCAGCCTATAGACAATCTGGCCACAATTATTGTGTTGGTCATAGTGAAGTCTCAGTGAGTGTACTTACTTTTCATAGAAGAAAAATATCACTGAAACCTATATTTATTCACTCTATATATTGAATAAAAAGAAATTTTCCATTAAAAAATGAAAGGGGATAGAGGGGGCAGAAATTGGTATTATCAGTGGTCTTTCATTTATTGCAGTCAACTTTGTTTCCAAGAAGAAAATAAAATGAGATAAGTTTTCATCAAGAAAGTTACACGAGTTGCAGATTCTTATTGGTTTGGAGGATAATGACCTCAAATGCCCTTTTGTGCATACTTTGAAGCAGAACATCGCAGTATCAACAGTGGTGACTTTGCTCTCTTTGGAAAATGCACCTAAAGTCCCTAGGCAGAATGTGCAGAGAGTAGGGAGAGGGAGCTTAGAGGCTCTTCCAGGTTGCTTAATTTCTCTGATTGACCAGAGAGCTTCTTATGTGAATGCCTAATTTATACATAGTAGATAAAATTTTAGAGAAAAATTTTTAAACATAATTTCATATTCTTAAGATAGTAATGTGTTTCCACAGCCTCATGAACTATAAAAGTTAAATAATTTGCTGATTCTGAACCATTTTGATGAACATTTATATGCTCTTATACCAACTCAATGCCCTTTTTTGAAGTATCTTCACTAACTTTTAAAACAAATGAAGTTTTGTGTCAATGCAAAGGATGAAATTGTCAAAGCAGACTCAGTATCCAACACCGTAGTTCAATAATGATTCAAAGATAAAGAAGCATCAGGCACAGATGACATATTCTTTTCTTCAAGGAGTCCCAAACCACAAGATCCATTTTTTATCTCTTATTAGGGTGGTTTGGCCCAGGTTAAATCATGCTTGGAGAAGCACTGTTTGCAAAGGAAGCTATTTCCATTTTTGAATGCCTTCATTATATATTCTGTTGATTACACAAATAACAAAAATAAGTATGGATTAGCCCATTGCTCCATCTAGTCATGCTTCATAAATCAAGAAATTTGGGGTTTATTTGCAATAAAAGTTCTAGAAAGACTAATTATTTCCTACTCAAGATGTCTAATAGAGGACTCTCCTTTATGTTTTCACTCGCAAATACCACTGAATGTTTACGAGGACGTCTGTCAAGGCTGATCCACTTTTCCTCCCTTTTTATTCAGGTCTGCTTCAGGTTATTCATTCCCGCCCCGCGCCCCCTCCCCCCCAGTTCCCTGTTTGGGAAGGAGTAAGTTACAGGCCTGCCATTCACCTTTTCATTCCCAGGTTTTAAAACAAATTATTACTTAAATGTTCAGAAACATTTATTTTTAGAGCCACTGGAGAAGAGTTACTTTTCTTGGATGTTTTATCTTCTTCCTTGACCTTTCATAGAAATCATAGCCTTATTGAAGGTTCGTGAAAGGGTAGTCTATACTCATAGCCTCGTTTTTACCTCCTCGTAAATTCTGAAGTTTGACTTCCGCTCCTTACCATGGCTCTACCACTGTGCCGAAATTCCTCTCTGAACTACATTGGCTCCCTAATTGTCCAGCGGCGTCTTGAAACATTTTGCCTTAACCACCCTGTCACTTGAACCTCTCCTCTATTTGGTACCATCTACAAATTTTCTAATGACTCAGGACACAGTCGCCTTTTGCAGGCCTTTCTTCCTATCCCACCCCACATAGATAGGTATTTTTCCTAGCTCCATCTTCAGTTTCCCTTTGCCCCACCCATTCTACCCCTGAAATTGTATTTCTATCAAAAATTTCCATTCTAATACATGAAGGCAATGCTCCAATGTAATTGACCAGGCCAGAACTTTTCCTTGAGCACTAGGTCTGAATTTCTAAATGATAGCCATTTGTGTACATCAAAATGTCTGAATTAAATTCATTATCTCCCCTTACATCCTTTTATAGCAAAATACTTTCTTTTCCTAAATGTTGCTTTTATTAGATGGCTTTGACATATAACCAGGCACGTTATCTGGAAACATTTTTCCTACTCTTTTGAGAATCTCCCAAGCAGATCCCTTACCTTGATTATATTGAATTATGTTATAGCCCTTCCCTTGTTACTCTTGCCCCCTAAATTATTTCATAAGCCTTATTAATAGTTTTGATTCCTTTTTGTCTCAAGTTTTCTTTCCATTAAAATTAAAATACCATCTTTCCTTGGTGTCTGCTTAAAAATTTTAACTGATTCTTCAAAAATGCAGGTCAGATAACCATAGCTTTTATAAAACCTTTTTATGTTACCCACCCCCAATACCTTTTGCCAGTCAGAATTACTCACTTTTCTGGGCCCACAGAATATTATATATTTTTATTAAAACATTATATTTTACTTAGTAGTGTGTTTTTCTGCTACATTTTATTCCTGGAGGATAGGGATCATATCTTATTTGTCCTTGCTATCTCTTGTGATAGCATTATTATTTTTTACTTAATAAATGTTCAATTTGGAGATTTGGGGGGCTTAAAAAATACTCCCTATTTTCTATTCCTAAATTTCAGTCTAATTGTGAGCTAGACCCAGGAACTAGAAGATGGGAGATCTAATTATCACCATAAATACAATGGACAAGTTTAGAAGCTGTGACTTTAGGTCTACAGGCTTTGCTAATAATTCACCCCAGAATCAGTCAGATTCACTGAACCACAAGACAGGTTCAGTCCCAGGCCTCACATCTTACAACGCTATGTCCCATATCATCTGCTGTTTACAGGTAGCTTGATTTGGAAGGGGTAATCCAGAAAGGACTGAGTCACCTGTGCCTGGTCGTTCAACACAGTCACTGATCTTATAAGCCAGTCCTCCTGGGGCGCCTGGGTGGCTCAGTTGTTGAGCATCAGGCTCAGGTCATGATCCCGGGGTCCTGGGATCAAGCCCCACGTGGGGCTCCCTGCTCAGTGAGGAGCCTGCTTCTCCCTTTGCCTCTGCCTCTCCCCCTGCTTGTGCACGTTCTCTCTCTCTCTAATAAATAAATAAAGTCTTTAAAATAAAAATAATAAGCCAGTCCTCCTATCCTGGGGTAGAATGAGGCAAAGGGTAGAAAGAGACCAGGAGCATTGCTTGAATGAATTTCCCTCTGTATGGAAACATGAGGACTAAAGGAAAGGAGGTACCTACCTAAAACTTAACAAATGTAAATTGAATTAAAAGAAAGAAACTTTGTTTCAAAGTGTAAGTATCTATATTAATTTTACTTTAAAACAATATTGGGAATTTTTTTTCTTTTTTACTTATTAATTTATTTTTTTGTTTCAAGTTTTTATTTAAATTCCAGTTAGTTCACATACAGTGTAATATTAGTTTCAGAAGTAGAATTTAGTGATTCACCACTTACATATAACACCCAGTCCTCATCACAAGTGCCCTCCTTAATGCCCATCACCCATTTTTTAAAGGACTAAAATGAATAGTGGGATTAGACAATAAAAATACATACTATATGATCAGTTGTCTCTTTTGTTCAGATTTAGTTTCTAATAGAGTAGTTCACAAATATTTCTTACTTGTGCTATTTATGGAGTGAATGGTTTACATTTCCATATAATTTCTCTTTTAGAAAATTGAACTGCTTAGCCATGTTCTGCCAAGAGATATGCGCATTGAAAGGTGCACATAAGCAAGTGTAAATATTAATTGCACACTTAAACACACATACATTTGTTTTACAGTGTATCAGTGCTGGGGGGAAAAGACATGACATAAGAACCATTTAATTGCTTACCAAGACCTGTCAGTTCTAATTCCTTTATATCTCATCAGTGGATCCCCTCACCACTGTTAATCTCTTCATTAACATTCTCATTACTTCTCACCTGTAATAACTTATTATCTACTTGGACATCCACAAATATATATTAATTACTTTTTCTGTAACTGTCAAAACTAAACAAAAAAAAACCCACTGTAGTTCCTTATGCAGGGAGCTCAAAGCCTGTTAATTCAACCCTTTAACCATCAGAGTGACCTTTCTTCTTCTGCTGTGATCACAGAGAAAGGGATGGGCTCTGAACAAAGAGAGGATCTTAATTAATGAGTATGAGATACCTGATATTGAAATACTAATAGTGTAACTAACCAGAAATTTCTAGGCAGGGTATTTGGGAAAGAGAAATCAAGAAGGAGCTGGTTCAACTTCATGATTAATAACTCCAACATAGCCTGCCATGCTAGCTTCCAAGATGAGAATGGAAGCTGAACCCTGTGTGTTTGGCTCAATAACAAGGGGGTAAAAAGTCCAACGTTGGCCTTTTCTTCTGTGTCATAGGAGAGAAGGACGTTGCACATAATTTAAAAGCATATAAAATGTACTAGTATATTAGAAACTCCCAAATGTGTTATATTCAAACTTAAGTAATATCTAGTCTTTGGACAAAAATTGAGTGTAAATTGATCTTGCTCCCATATTAAATATATGAGGGAAAAGCAAATGGATTTCTTATATTGGTACCGTATATCAGCATATTAAGAAGGACTTTGAGTATACAGATAATACATGTATTATGCTACGTATTTCATCAAAAGTTACTTTTTAATAACTTGCATTCACAGTTGCCTGTTCCCAAATGTACACCTTTCCCTATCGTAGCTTTCACTGCATGTTTCATAACTACAGCATTTTACTTTTTACTTTACTTTTTTGTTTAAATAAACACAAGGACTGGAATTTTGCCTCAAGAAGCAAGGTTATTCATGATCCTGTCAAATTAACATGACTTACTACTTTACAAAAAAACACATTAACTGTATTTTTGTGTTTTCACATACTGTAAACACTTCCAACACCATCAGTTTTAACATGACTGAGCACACGTTAATGTAGAAGATCCTGTGGTTGTGATTGTTTTCGATTATTTTAGAAATATTTTTTCTTTATTGTCCCTGCAGAACAAAAGCCAGTAAAGTGAAATACATTTTAAAGCATTCAGATTGGACTGACCAGCTATTTAAATAATCTAAAATTATTAGGTAACTTAAAAATTAATGCAAAGTATTTTTAATTTCACAAACATGTAACACATAGAAGAGTACATGTCACACAGTTTTCTCCCCAAATTCTGCTTTTGATACCTTTATCTCTTCACAGCTTCCTTAAGCCCTTCTTGAATCAAGGCAAGTTTGTCTTTCTAAGGCTGACTGATGAAGCACAGACTTCCAAGGGGCTTTCAGAATCGAGTACCTGCTGATCTCAGATAGCCTGGTCACATGTTGACAGCCCTTTGCTGCTTTTTGTCCAAATAATAAATCCAGTCAGCTAAGTGAAACGGCAAAGAAGATGGCTTTTGTTTTTTTGAAACATTAGGACTAGTCTGGATAATTATAAACTCTTATAGCTATATGAGTCCTTAGAGACCATTCAGTTATCCTTTGTTGCATACAAGGAAGCCAATATCCAAAGGAATTACCTGTTCAAAGTGTTCATATCTAAGATATAAAAATTTCCAAATCTGGCCTGTTCAGTCCTTTATTGCCTCTTTTCAGTTTTCAACTAGGTGTTTGTAATTGGTGGTTATACACAGAATCTCAAGATAGTCTAACAAAAGAATGAACTAAGATTCAAACTTTAATTGTTAATCACAAAAAAAGTATTATTGTAAACACAGAAATAGAAAACAACTGTGTTTCTGCTTTGTATTAAATTCACACACCTCATCTTTGCCACTTTATCCAGTAATTCCGATGCCTAGTATCAAATAAGCATTGGTAACTTCTTAAACCTATTTTATTCAAACATAAGCCAAGTTCTTAAGGGTGCATCTTTTTAACTTAAAGTTGTGTGTGTGTGTGTGTGTGTAGATATGTATACACACACAAGCACATTTTAAAGGAACAAAATTACACACAATAAATTTCAAACATCTTCCCAAGTAAATTGTTTCTCTATTCACTTACAGGGGGACAAGATTTATTTTCTTACAAAATTATAATTTATCTGTCCAAGGCTTATCAAAATCAAGAGTAAATTATGGAGTAAAGAATCTACACTTTGCCTTTTTGGGGTGCTTTTCCAGTCCTATTGTTCCATATATTCTTTTATTTTAGGAGTTACTAAATGTCCTGTTTTTTCCTGTCTTGTTCATTGGGCAAACAGGGGTAGATGGTCCCCCTCCCTAGATAGGAGACGACCTCCTAGCCCCAGGATTCAAATCCAGCATGCATCTCCGGAGAATGACAGGTACTAGCCAACTCCTCCTCACAGACAAGTGGCTTCAACAGGCTGATAGGCCACCAAGTGAAGGATAACCAAGAGAAATGTTGGTTATTATGTGCTTCTTTTCAAGAGCCAGAACCAGATATGTTGTGATTCCATCACTAAATGCATCCCACCTCTAATAAAGCACCTCAGCGTGTTACTGAAATGAGGGTGGCACATGCAGATGGCATAGTTTATAAACACAGTAAAGTCAGATCCAGTGGAAAAGTTCTGTTTTAAATGAGCATTTGTTTCAGTGTTTTGATTTTCTAGAAACATATTTAAATATTGCTTTTGTTTAAACATGAATAAATAAAAATTTTCAGGTGTTTTAAAATATATTAAAATCTGTCACGGAAGCCTTTTCTTTGTTATATTGGTTGATGGTTTAATCTCAGTTGTCTTGTTTTTGTTTTTGTTTTACTACATAAACTTGTTAATAATGAAGTTTAGGTTTGGAGGAACATTAAAAATGTCTGATTGGAAGTAAAATAACTGGTTCTTATATATTGTATGAATATGGTGTCTTTAAACCAAATATTGTTGAGGGCTAGTGTCAGTCTACAAGGTAGGTCTTTAAAAATAGCATCAGTCCTTTGAACGTGCCTCATGCTGACAGTGTCAGAAATGCTGTGTTATTCTTCTCACAGGCATAGCTAACCCAGTTCTCCTGTTTTACCATGCTTCTTATATATAGTCGTTGGCTTTAAATATCTTTTTCTGACTGGTCATACAAAGTTACCGGATGTTTGGGGTGCTTCTCTTCTAGTTTAAGCAGAGATTCAGTCAGCATATTGGTAATATTGATTAAGTAGAGAAATATAGTTGGTAGCTCAGAAATAGAACAACTAGTAAAACATTTACAAAATGTTCCTTTTGTTCATTTCCAATATGTGTGGATATAGACAGCAGAGTAATTGCACTCTTAGTTAAGAGTGATACAATTTTTTTTTTTTTTTTGGTAGCTGTAAATAGTCAAGATAACTTCAGGATTTCAATTTGGAAGAAAAACTAAGCCTTGTCACTCAGAGAAAATTAAGTCATTTTACCAATGTTGGAAAAGGCCACAAGCTAGTAATTTATAAAGACTTTAAGAATATTTTATCAGTTTTAATCTTTAAGAAATTTACCTTTTAAGATGACTTGCGTATTTGAAATTTAAAACTAATTCCTTCTGGTTTCTGGGATAGAATTTTGGAGAGTAGAACAATTAGTAGTAAAATCTCCAATCTAAAAATTATTCTAAATTTAAAGTATTTTCAAATCAGAATATGAAGTAATCATATAAATTAAATAAAAACATGCATCCACATTGCTACTCATTCATCCACAAATATTTATTGTGCCCTGTGATATGCACTCTTATTATGGCTGGAGACACCACATTGTTTAAGAAAAGCAAGGTTCTGGCCATCAAGGAACTTAGAATTTCCTTTTATAAAACACAATTCTAGAAAGCCTTTGAATTTATTGCAAACAAATGAGTCAGTGAATTTCATCTCATGGAATGACTATTTGAGTACAAGACAATTAAATATAATGGTCTTTAAAATGAATATATGTGTAATATATCAGGACACAAATTAAGCAAAATGGAAGTCCAAATAATAATTTCAGTTTTTATATACACAAGATGGAAATTAGTTGAAAATTAGTTGTCATTTAATGACATATGAATTAATTATGTTATTTGATTTAGTAGATTGTATATATAACTTTATGGGTAAATTTTAGGAGCAGAAATGGTCATTTTAGATAAGATCACTAAGGAAACTTTTACTAATACATAATTCTGAATATACATTTATTATGACTTATTTGTAAATAAGATCTATGTTCAACCAAAAGACATATATTTTAAATGGCTTGATACTATGATTTATTACTATAGGGAACAGAAAGTTATTTACAATAAACTTTTACTAAAATATAGGAATAATATGTGCCCATAAATATGATAGAGAAATAGCTAAATCAACAGATGCTAAATTCATAGGCAACCATGTCAGCCACTTGGCAAAACTTAACACTTGCGTTTTACCTCTTATCAGCTTTATCTAATTATTCATCAGTTTCTACCAATTTCCAAATGAAGGGAAGATAGCATCAGATTTGGAGATAGTGAATGCTCATGATGATTTGGGCATCATTTGAATTTTGCCCTAGTACTTGGAAAATATTCTAAAATCAGTGACAGTATATATAATCAGCCTTTGGATGTCTTGAATCAAGGTCATGTTTGATTATTTTGAAAATAACAGCAATACAAAAAATTTTGCTTAAGACAGTTCTCCAGTAAGTTGGAAAGCATTTAGTTGCCCCCTTATTTCTTACAGCATGAAAATACATGTGGTTACGTGTGCACATGCACACACACACACAATTTTTAACATACCATTTTCCCACAATTTAATTTCAGTTTCAAACAATCTTGATGTCTTCTCAAGTTGTATTTGATTTATTTGAAATTAACATGGAAGCAGGTTTTTCTAGATCTAGAAAGATTTCCTAGAAGTTGTAGAATATTTAAAACAAACAATAATGAGGAAAAAAATATATAAATTTAGAACCCCAGGGAATGAGTCCGACTTTAAAATTGTTGGGAAAATTTCCCTGCAGTTTTATTACTAAAAGTGTGAAGACATTTTAAAACATAATCATTCCAAAACCAAAATACCTCTGTAAATGGCATTATTTTAATATGTAAAAAGTAACTTTTATGAATCTGTGTATACATAATTGTTTTTGAATTTAATAAAATTTGCATCTTCTTGTGGCTTCAAATTAATCAAAATTTTTGTGTTCAAGTTAGAAAAAATGTCTTTTAATATATCCCTGAAGCATCAAGGTTCTGAGTTTAGTGCTCACAAGTTGAAGCAATCATTTTTAATGTGAAAGGCTAGTATAAATAATCATAATTGTTGTTATCTAAATCTACTTTAAACTATTCTTGGCATAAATTCTTTTTCAGGAAAATGCAGTATTTCTTATTTGGTAATTTTTGAGATGTATCTTAACACTTCATTAGCTAGAAGTTACAAACTCCAATGTGTGATTGAGAATATTTTTGCATCATTATACATGACATCTTTAAGGTGTGTGACTTAAAAAAATACTAAAAATATTTGATGAAAATAACCCTATTTTCCAGGACTTTACATTATTGGCAACAAGTAAATTATTGGAACAAGTAAAACATCGCACTGTGTTAAAGATTTATCCCTGAGTCACTAAAGTAGGTCGTATTTCTTTTGTAAATGATCATGTTTGTATAGTTTCCCACACTTGTTGCTTAGTAGCAGCTACTTGCCTATTAGAATCTCTGACCAAAAGTGTCAAGTGATTTCCTTTGATTCAAACTGAATGAATATTCTTTCTCCATTAAAAATATTTCTGGAATAAAGAGGTCACCTACTTTTTTACTTTCAGAGTTCATGGCAATTGCCAGAGTGATGCACAGTTAACGTAGAACATTTATAAATTCAGTATGTTACTTACCATTTTTATTTGCTTGATAGCATCTTTTGTTGTCTGTGCTTTTCAAAAATGTTCTTTATTTCAATGAGTGAAATATACTCATCCACTAAAATACTTAAGTCTGTTTAATGGCTATAGTCAGATACATAAATATCAATGCTGTACAAAAGGGTACATGCATCATAATTGCATGTAGCCATCTTCACTGCATATGAACATTTCTTACTTGGGTAGATTCTATTCAAATATAATGTTTTCTTCCTAAACTTATGAAGAGACAAGATGATAGAGATTTGCATTCCACATTAAGCCGTCTAGGTAGTTAGCCAGCCTATATACAGATATTTTCCTATATGAATATCAGTGTTAATTCTAATTAAATTAAAATGTGGTAGATTTTTGTTACGTTTTCCTCACAACAGAACATACTGTATTTTCATTTTATTATAAAATATCCTTAAATAAGGGTGCCTGGATGCTGCAGTTAAGCGTCTGACTCTTGGTTCAGTTTGTGATCTCAGGATCGTGAAATGGAGCCCCACGTTGGGCTCCCCGCCCCAGCACCCGAGTGTGCTTAAGACTCTCTCCCTCTCTTGGCTCCTCCCCCTCCACACGTGCGCTGTCTCTGTCTCTCAAATAAAAAAATAAATCTTTAAAATAAAATAGCTTAAGTAATACTACTATTTTATTAACATATTAATTTTAGACTTTAATAGAATTGTAATACCTTCAGAAAAGCTGTATTTACCAGTGTCTTCAGGGAATTGCTCCAATTGAATTTAGTTACTGAAGAGGAAAGGAAATTAGCACAGAAATAGATTTTAACAATTACCTCTCTTCTTTAGTACATTTTATGAATCTTCACATTTAAATTAATAGAGAGAACAATAATTAAAAATGGAGCTTCAAAAAAATAGATTTAATTAAGAACACTCCCACTTCTCTGATTATTACTCTTGCTTTGATTTAATAATAAAATAATTGTTATACCTCCATTTGAATGTAGCTTTATAACTTTTAAAGAATTCCATTTGTGCCCTGTGAACTAAGGATCATAAGGCCAAAACCATACAACTATTAAGTTGTGAAGTGAAGAGAAAGCTCAGTATTTCTGATTCGTGCATGTCTAGACCAAAGAAACATTCTTTATGAATAATAAAATGATAAAGATTTTTAATAGAACAAAACATGTTGAAACCCAAAATAAGTAAGACATAACGGAAACACTATAATTCTGTTTTGTTCACTTCTCTCTAGGGGTCCCTCCAATAAACGTCAAATCATTCAAGTCACTGGATGGCAGAATGGGCAGAGAACCTAAGGACATGAGGACATGATGGTGGTGTCCTCACCAACTAATTAAGGCCCCTATTACCTTGGATAAGCCACTTAAACCTTATGGGAGTCTGTTTCCTCATCTGTAAATTTAGGTAGTTGTAGGTGGGCTGGCTGATTTCTCGTGTCCCTTTAAGAATAAAATTGTGTCTATGCTGCCTTGTTGCAACATGATAAGCATATATTGGGCTAATAATGACTGACACTTCATGATGCAAAAGCCAATAACCAAATGCCATTTTTTAATTTATGATATTTGATATTTTACTGAAGCCCGGAAAACAGTGAAAAATGCTATTTCTAAATTTACTTGATTTGATGTAAAGTGAATTTTATAACCCTAGTTAGTTTTTCACTTATTGTAATTTTTTAAACCCTCAAATTACACGATAATACTCAAAATAATTACTTTTTTAACCATGCATTTAATAAGTACTTATGAGCAGCTACCATGTGCTAGGAGTTGATGTTACAGTGATAACTCGGACAGACGCCATTCCTGATCACAAGGAACTTAGAGTAATGTAAGGTAGAATGTAGTTCATTTCACTATGATCCATTTTATGATCATATGATCAATAGTTTCAATAGTATAGTAGTGCATAAATATAGGTTGATTGTTCTAATCTTTCCTATTTCACATACCACAAGCTTCTATTCTAAGAAACAGCTGTATTTAAAATGTATATTCATAGCTATAACTTAGGATTTGGAGTGGAAAAGACATTAGAATTTTCTGTTCTGTATTCTTGCTTTACACTGAATTATTACAATTGAGTGTATTTAATTTTAACTCAATTTGAAGATCCTTTTAAGTGGTTAAAAAGTATTTTAAAGACCTATCCTTTGTAGAAATCTTTAGATGAATCTTCAATAAAAGCAAGTTTCTGTAGCATTTGTAGAGAAAAAAAGAGGTCATTCTTAACAAGAGGGTTAAAAACAGAAATAAAAATTTAGATGTATGAACTTCTGCATGAATTATTGTCATCCAGTTATGGAGCACTGACTGAGCTTGGCACTGCTATAGATGAATAAAAGCCTTTACCTTTAAGAAACAAACATGTGTTATTATCCATTTAAATAATACTTTCATAACACTTACAGCCAGCTAGTTCTGAGTGATGCCCAAACCACTACAAACCCTTGTTCTCAGTAATGTCACAAAAACTACAACACAAATACTGAGCGATACTGAAATAGAATTGGCAAACTTGTGATGGGGTATTATTCTCTCCACTTCACAGGTCAGAACAAAAAACCCAAAACCGAGGCACAGAGTGGTTAAGTAACTTGACTAAAATCACCCCGCTAGACAGAAACAGGTAGTTAAACCCAGACAGGCTGAGTCCACAGTCCATGCTTTGAACTATTGTGCTCCAGCGTCTAGAATTTCTGCTTCCGATGCCAGTGTTCACCGCTGTTGAGATTGTGGAGTCTTCTTTCACCTCATGGTTTCAATGTAATGACTTTGTGAATTAGAGTAAATTATTGACTCTCTCTAAGCCTCAATCTTTTTGTTTTTATAAGGCATAAAAAAGTAGTACCCACCTCCCGAGATTGGTGAGATTAGATGAGTTAGTGCAGGTAAAGCGATCCTGCAAGCGCACAGCAAGCTCTCAGTGAATGTCAGGTACTGTTGGGATTGGCATCATCTTTGTCATCACCCTCATTATGGATTCTTGTGATAATCAGTCTAGCATATGAGTGTATTATATTGGAGGGATGAGAAGAGGAGAGAGGGTTGAAAGTTTTACAGAGGTAAAATCTCAGTTGAATCTAGAAAGATTAATAGAAATTAGTAGGGATAGAAACAAAAGCACACAAGTTCTACAAGATGTCCATAAACCCTTTCGTTGTGCAGTCCTAGAAAGTTTGTACAAGAGTCTACAGGACTCTACATGTCTGTCACCAGTCCCCCTCCTCCATCACCAAACTTGTCATCTGACTCTTCCCTCTCAGCACTTCCCTTTCTGGTCTCCTTACTCTGCTTGAACATACCAGACACACACCTGCCTTAGGGCCTCTGCACTTGCTGTTTCATTTTCCTGAGATACATTTTCCATGAGATGCATAGGTGGCTGACTCCCTCCTCACCTGATGTCGCCTATTCGGTGAATCCTTCCCTGATCACCCTACTGAAAATGGCAATCTGCGTCTGCCCCCAAACCCCACCCTCACACACATTTCTGATCCCCCTGGACTGGTGTACTTTTTGTTGTTGCTAGCATATTTCACCTTCGATTATACTATATAATTTACCTGTTGAGGGCTTTTTGTTGTTGCTGTGTATTGTTCATCTCCTACAGATAAAATGTCAATTGCTTAAAGGCAGAAATCTTTTTTTTCCCCACAGACATATGCCAAGCACCTAGAACAGTCTGGCATATATATATATATATACATGTTCAACGAATATTTGTTGAATGAATAAATGAGTGAAAACCTTTATGACAGGGAGTTTCATGAATTGGCCTAAAACTCTGCTCTCGTTCTGCTGAATATGAGAAAAGGAACATTTGTCCTCCCAGTCTCTGAGCCCTTTTGGGACAAAGCATCAATTTCCCATAATGGTGTATTTTTATTTTGAGCTCAGATGCCTAGTGGGCCTCCAGCAACTCCTCCTGCTATGCATATGCCTTCCTTCCGTTTGCTTTAGGAGCTCTCCCATCGATTTCAGGCATGTGCAATGTACTTCTCTACTCTTCGACACACTACAGTGCCCTCTCCTCATCACAGGATCAACAAAGTAAATAAGAATATCAGAGATATTCCTTTAATATGAGACACTGTCTCTTAGTACTTTCCAAGGCCAACCCCATAGTTCATAGTTTCTTCCCTTCTTGAGCAAGGGTGCAACCCCAAGGGCATACATCAGAACTGACTCCATCCCTTCTCTCTGCTGACAGTACATGAGAGAAACAGGTTAGGAGCCAGACATACTTACTTTCTTATCCCAGCTCTGCTTCTTACTGACGGGGTGCCTTGTCCAGAGCCTGTTTCCTCATCTTTGAAATAAAGGTGATAACCTGAAAGGATTGTCATGAAAGTTAGTAAGTCAGTGCCTCCCTCAGTACCTGGCCTAGAATTACCCTTCAATATATCCTCTTTTCCAACAATTCAAGGAAAGTGGTAAGCGAGAGATGTTCCTCTCCTCTGCGTCAACCCTTTTTACGTCCCTCAGAAGTGAGACGTCATGGTAACAGAAGGCCCAAGGACACATAGCTGAAACCCTGAATTGGAAGGGCAACAAGGGTGAACCCAGTTTTTGGCAATAGCAAAAGAGCTGGGGGAGACAGGAGCAGCCCCAGAAGTCTGTATACCCTGTGAAGGTGGGCTTCATACCTTGACGTGTATTTCTAGTGGGCCTGACAGCAGGGCTTGGCATGTAGGAGACACTTTGATTATCTGGCGTTAGGAGGGAATGACAGACAGTTGTCTCTTTGTTGTTGGAAGGAAGGGATATCAGGAAAGAAAAATAAGCATAAATTGTAAAGAATCAACCATTGAGAGAATAATATACAATTATCAAGGTTAAAATGCATGTTACTTTCGATGGTTTCAATGGGATATTTTAAAATAAGTTTTAGTTTCTTGACCACAGTATTTTATATTTATTTCAAATATATAGTAGGCGAGACACATTTTAAGTCAGATAAGAATATGTAAGCTGCTGCTTAGGCAGGTAAGCTCTCCATATAAACATTTCTTTGGCAAAACACATTTCAAGTTCCACATGTGCAGTATATATATGTATATGCTTCTGGAACATAGAGTAAATTGAGAACTTTATTCTTTGATTTGTGATCTGTAATTAGCTTTTTAAAATTCTCCATGGTTACAAAAGCACGTTTATAATAACCTTGGAAATAATTTTAATACTTGATTTAAAATGATTATGTGAAGCATATTTCACTGTGGTATTTTTCTTCTCCTCATATTTTGTGGGGGAAGAATAACAAACGACAAATCCTTGCAGCACCCTCTTTCAACTTGCAAACACAGAGGGCGCTTGCCCCCTTTGTAGTCTTTCAGCACCTGAACCACTGCTGTCATCACATCCATCCTCACTACATTGCTGCCCTGGACTTGTTTACTCATTAGCAGAGGCAAAGTTGCTCAGCAGGGGTCCATACTAAATCATTCCTGCAGACAAACCTGTCTAGACGAAGGGAGTCCTAGCTTCTTGGGTCTCCTGTTGGGCAACTTGTGTCTTCCACCCAGCACCACTTCTGATTTTTATTTATTATCATTTGTTTTTATTTTAAAAAGCACTGAATGACAAAACCATCTAAGTAAGATAGTTGTCATTTCTCATGTCTATTGCTTTTATCATTGTGTGATATTACTGTAGCTTTATTCCTCATATATTTTGTATTTCTTTAACATTTCATTCCACAGGCACTCCAGAAAGTCTGAGAGATCTAGCATCCAAAAACAGACTAGGAAAGGCACTGCCTCTGATGCAGAAAGGTAGGCTTGGTGTTGTGCTGTGTGGCCATCTTCTATTTCAGCTGATAAATTCAGGGGTGCCTTAACTCTCATTTTACATGATCAGTTTTTAAACACAGCCTGTGATGTTTAAAGACATTCATGTAAATAGATCTCCTATATAGGAATAACCTCAAGAAACGAGAGAAGGGTAATTTGAAGGTGGCCCTTAAACCGTAGGGTTTAAGGAAAATCTCGTATATTTCTCTTAGTGATCACGCTGATCACTAAAGAGGACCAAATCTGTGCTAGGACATTAATGTTTTGTTTCTGAGATTATTTGTTATCAATGAATATAATACTTGAAATATGCAATTATTTTGAGTGTTATTTATCTGTATGACGTCATCTTTTAAATCTCTTTTCTGCAAATAGATCTAAGATTCTACTTGTATATGAAAGATATTTGTTGAGTTAATGTAAAAATTAAAGGAATTACTGACCTTTCTTTGCAATTCATCCAACTTTACAATTTTTTTAATATTTTTAGGTGTAAGATATTAACACTTTGTTTTACATAGTTGTAAAAAACACCTAATGTCCCATTAACGTATTATTCATTCATCCAAAAAAGCATTGAGAACATGCAGGGGGACACAAATGTAAATGAAAGAATTCATTGAAGTCTTATAGCTATTACTATAAAGGTATGCACAAGATACAGTGAAAACATGGGGAAAAGAGTGGAGTGCAGAAAGGAGGTACCTCATAAAAGGTGTCACCTGAGCGAAATCCAGATACATAAAAGTAGATGTGAAGAAAATACTCCATGAGAAAGGAAAAAATATGAGAAAACACTGAGGCTTAAAAGCTGGAGAAATCCCTAGATGTTATGTTACACATGACCTTGTGGACTATTTAACAGAATTTCAGCTTCTGTTTTATACATCCATGAGCCATTCATGGGCTTGAGACATGAGAAGCTGATGATTGGCTTTGAGTTCCAAAATTATAGATAGCTATAACATTTTGTAAGGTGGATTCAAAGATCGAAGGGCAGATGCAAGACACCACTAGGCTGTCGCAATAGCCTTGATTGAGATAAACTCTGGACAGTTCAATAATTCATTTAAAAGATATATGCCAAGCTATGTGCTAAGTTCAAGGAATAAAATAATGAACAACAAAAGAGGAAAGCTTCCCAGGAGATAATACTTCTGAATTGAGATCAGAAAAATAAGTAGCTATTAATTACATGAATGGGTGTGGATAAAGAGAAGATAAAACTTATTCCTAGCTAATATCTATGGAGATATTGACTGTTTAGGGAATCTAATTTACAATAGAACGAGGATTTAAAGAATTCAAAAAGTGTTGAATAGAAATTCAGTTTTACAAAGGAGCTAGGCTTTGAGAAGGGAAATGAAGAACAAAGTTCTAGTACTTCAGATAGATAGATAGATAGCCTGTAATGTATTGATTATGTTTCCACTTACATATTCTTTAATATCAGCTCAGTTAACTGCAGTTTCTTTACTAGCATTATAAATGATTTAAGTTCCTTAGACAAGTTTTTAATCATCAACCATCATTCACATGCCCCTCTGCCTCAAAGACAGACATAATTTCAATTACTTTGACATGACTGAAAATTTTCCTCAAAGTCTTACTCTTTTTATTCCATTCAGGCTTTAATTCATTTAACAGTTACTAGTTGAGTGACTACCATGTGAGGTTTATTTAGGATATATCAAAGAACAAGTCTTTTTGACAATAAGATACTGTTTTTATAAAATGCTAGATGATTCTAGAATCAACTGATGGTGCTTAACTACAAATGAGTAATATTTGGGCATTTCCTCTACAGTGCTGAAACTTGTCTGTAGATAAACACAAATCCTCCATCCCTCCAAAATGAATAGCAAGAATTTGATTGATTTCCAGTCTCAAATGTTTGCTGCTTAAGGACCATATTCATATTACTCATGCTTTATTTACTTTGCTAATAGGTTTTAATATCGAAAACACAAACCTTGTAAGTGTGTAGATTTGTTTGATTATAGTTAAAGCTCTCCATTGATTTGTATTAGAGTGTAAATTATATGCCTGGTTTTTAAGTGAATTGTTGAATAACTAGTTATAAAAGAAGAATTGGCCTGGATTTTCTAGGCTTATGTTAGCTCTCATTTCTTTAGAAGATACCTTGAGTTGACATCTAACTACAAGTGAATTGAGGTTACAGTATGAATGCTTTGGACACGGATTCAAGGTCTTTGGGAAGTTAGCAACATACTCAAAGGTTTCATACCACACAGTCACCCCTTGGCTTCTGGCAAAATTTGCTATTTAATGGTTATCATTTTGAAGGCCCTTTGTTGGCCTTAACAAATTTGGCCTTATGGGGAATAGTGTTGTAAGAAAATATTTTGAAAGATATGGTGACCAGGTACAGGCAGAAGACAAGCAGAACTCATGTCCAAGTTCTGTGCCTAGCATTCAAAGCAGTGCTTTTCATCCTCTCAGGGAGCTCCTTGGTAAAATTCTGACTCTTCACGCTCATATGAATTCAGCTATATGACCTGCTAGCACCATTTCTCCTTTATACTCTAGTGACTTTTCTTTTTGTGGAACCTGTAATCCGCAACCTATCTAGGGGATGTTTTGTCAGGACTAGTATTTAGAATTAACCAATTCTGAAAGGAAAGCTTCCCAACAGACATGCCTTTTATGTTGTGCTGGTGCTATTGGAAAGAGAATGTGTGGGCCCGTAATGGCCATTACAAGAGGAACCATTTTGAACAGTTGACCTTAAATACCACATGCATGTCCATCTTTTAACAAGCCATTAAAAAAAAAGAATTACATTTTTAAGCTGCATTAGAAGAAATTTACTATTGCAGCAATAGATATGTCTGACTAACAACCTCAGATTTTGGTGAGAAATGTGTTTTACTTAAGTTCAAGTCAAAACACTAGTCTTAGGTGAAGAGAATGGGCATAGATTAGACTCAGTAGTAAATACTTAGATACATATTTGGAGATGGTGAACTAGCTTCAGGCATGCTTAGGTTTGAATTAGAATTTTGCTCTAGAAGCCTTACTTTTTGTTTAAAAAATTATGGGATATTTATAGATCTATAAAATGGAATAGGTATTCATTAAATACCATTTCCCATACATTTTATACCTACAAACTCTCAGGAGACAATTCTGTTAAATCTTGCCCAACAGTTTGATATATGGATATATATTTAGATTTTGTTTAAAAGATTAACAATATTTGCAAGGATTTGCCATTTTTCCATCTTGTGATATGGAAACAAATCCTGTCTCAATGGGCAGCACAGGGAGCAATTGTTGGTGCTCAGTAGATCTGTGTGGATCCTGCCTTTACCACACGTTAGCTCTTTGTCTTTTTACAAGTCACTCTATGATCCTGTTTTTCTGTCTATAAAATATGAATAATGATACTTCTCAGACTTGTAAGAATATCAAAAAAAGAACATACATGTGTATGTATGTGTACACACGTGTCCATATATGCACAGACATTCAGTGCCTGGCTCCATATTGTTGCTCAGTAAAGAATAGTTGTTCCTGTCGTTTTACTTATCCTCCATGCACTCCCTGTTCCATTCTGTAAGTATGGTTGTTCCTCATCTCTTCCATCCTTGCATCCTTACGTTCTTAGCACATCCCATTCCACTGGAAACATCAAGGCTCGACAGCCTGGATTCTCAACATTTCACTCCTGTACCTCAGAATTTCTTGACTGATTCGCCTTTTCTCTAGTCTGAAATGAGCTGCACTTGGTTCCGTTATCTCTCATCTCCAAAACCTTGCTCTTTTCAAAGTTCCGCATTTTCACTCTCCTCAGTTTTCCCTCCTGTAATTCAGATGTACTGCTACCCTCCTCTCTCTTCCTCAGGCAGAGTGGTTTTTGATGCCGCCCCTTTGGTCTGTGCTTTCATGCTTGTAGTTCGGCTGGCAGCAGGGACTGTTTTGTATTGAGGGACTTTTAGTTCACGTCAAAGAAAAAACAGATCTAGTGCTAAATAGTGCACCTTCAGCACTATACAAGTTGTTCTCAGACCCTGCAAGCCTGTAGCTTTGGAGATGGGAACACTAAGTCATGGAGTCTCAATCTGTATAATACTCACCTAGAAAGCCATTTATTTGTCTCCAAAATTGCTTTTTATATCTTTACCATTCAGTTTGGTGCCATATAAGGTCTACCTAAATTACTCATATTTCAAGTCACATTTAAGTGCTTATGAATTGTATTAAGGAATGAAGTAAGATTTTAGTGAAATTGAAATAAAATTTCTCAGTGCTAGGGTGAAAACCATTATTCACTTTTTAGACCACACTAAGAAAGTCTATTTTGAACAAGGATGGCTTGAAGTTTATTCTCATAATAATGGCTTTTAAAGAGTAATAGATAAAAACTCTTCCTTTACCAATGGAAAGGACTTGATCATGCAGTCCTTCCCATATAAATTAATTCTATAGAGTTGTTTTGTGAAAAGTCAATTGAGAATGAATGAACAGTCTTAGTATGTATTGTTAGTTCTTTTTTCTTTTCACTTGGAAATTGAGACAACAGTCCAGGTTTCGGGATTTGCATTAGGGCCTGATAAAGCATTAATCCATAGGTCAAGAAGATAAAAATGCACATTTGTTAAAGTTCTAAGTTGTACTTTTTTCCCATTTTATTGTTCTGAAATAGAGGAGATACCCTGAATTAAAATAATTATAGCTGTGAAAATCATTTTATTTAAAAGAAAAATTATCAGTCTGAATACAAGTTGAATAAAATACTCAATAATTAATGTACTTCTGGTGATCAATATGTATTCTTTACTCTCACACTTCAAATCACTTGATAAGTGGGTTTACAGCATTGTTTCAAAAAGGATGAGGTATTATTTCTTTGCTTCTGTCACTGTAAAAAATAATCCATACTGGGTATTTTAAACATTCATTTTATTTAAAATATATACTGAAATGATTAAAAAAAAGGCAAAAGCATGTATCTGTTTTAAGATACATATCAGTTTTTAATTCTTAATCCTTAATTCATAAATTCGCTTCATAATAATTTTTAACCCTGTATTATGGTAACTGTCAATATATGGACAAATATCTTTTCAGACTTTTTTTTATCTTCGAAGATATGTTATTATCCATACATCAGCCATTTGTATTTAGTCAGTTCAGTAATGAAACATACTCCATCCTGTTGTATCATTTTAATTTGTTCGTCTGCTTAAATTAACCTCAGAAGACATCTTCCTTTTGCAGCCTACTTGGAATAAACTTCCTATTGCTGATTAAAATTATGAACATTGTAAAAATATACACAGAGTCCTACAGAGCACTATTTCTTCTTGAAGGCAAGTGCTTGAAGTATCGCTGTATTTGTTATTGTAATCATATTTATTCATTCAATCAAGGTATCTGTATTGAGTTCTTGCTCTCTGTACAGCTGTATTCTAGGCACTAGAGATGCAGCTCAGTAAAAAACAAGAGACAGAAGTCTCTGTCCTTGTACAACTTAACAAGAGGTTTATTACATTGGAGGAATCTGGATTAGCCCTCTAAAAACCACATGGCGTGTACATTTGCAATAACTTGTCAGTTTCCTTTGAATTCCATTTCAGTGATTGCATGATGATGGGTTTCTTCTGGTTTTTAAAGTCGCTGCCTTGTAAGAGTAACCAGGTTTTCCTTGGACGAATGTGTTGGTATAAAACTTAATGTGAACCTGCTGACTGAAGATCTTTTTTGGCCCTAATGTTTTAGGGTTCTCCCACCATGCCTTTCTAGAAGGGGATACGCAGCCCTAAGAGCGACTGATCAGCCAGTCCTTAGGGGAAAACATCCCGCTCGCTCAAGGTCGAGTGAGCACTCTAGTGTCAGAACACTGTGTTCTACCCACCACCTTGCCCCCGGAGGGTCGGCGCCACCTTCTCCGCTTCTGACAAGGTCGCTATTCAGTGTCCAGCCCAGCATTCATGTTCTGCCTCCGGGTGTTGGTGTGGTGTTGTACTTTCCTGAGCACTTGATGCTTTCACTCATTATGACACCATAATTTTTAATCCTTTCTTTGTGGCACTTAAACCTCTCCCACATCCTCTATTACTTGCATCTATCTTCACTGTGCTGATAGTAGTCTATAGTTCCTGCCAGTTAGCTATCATTGAAAATGAAATTTGGCTGTGTTATGTCCTTCCATCTGTTTGTGGCATATTCATATATATATATTTTTTGATTATGTAAAATTCTTTATGAGAAATTGCCTGGAAAATTCAATGTATATTTGCTTTAAAAAGTATTAGAGAAAATTTTTTACAAAAATCTTTTGTATGTGTTCAGTAAAATCTTAGAGTGTTTGAAAGTTTTTTAGTTTAAAAAAAAATTGAATGCCAGCAGATGGAGGTCAGCTTAGTCCTGTGCAGTAGTAATGTATCTGCACGCTTCTCAAATTTAGATTTGTAATTTCGATCCTTGGACCAGTATATTTTATAGCATGTACCCAAGGTTATTTTTTTAAAAATATCTGTCAAGGTTTTTCCTATTTAAAAATAAACAACAAGTGAATGGTAATTTATAAAAGTCTACAGCTAGAACTATTCTAATCACTTACAAATAATTCTAGATATTAAATACTGACTTAATAGTGACAATTTAGGCAACAGCCTTTTTAAACTAATTTTCTACATTGTTGGGATTCAGAGGCTGTAAGTAGATAGATTTGGTTCAGCACTCCCCAAAATGGATAACTTAATGAAAAGCCACAGTTTCATAGTGAGTTAATTCAAAGAAGTGAGTCTAATTTTACTCAATTCAGGAATTCATTACACAGAACTATGTGTGACAGACCTTACCCTGTCTCTCTTAGTCCCTTTTTATAGTATTTCTTTTATCCATATCATCAAAAGCATTTGATTTTGTTTCCAAAGGCTGAGTGAGGAGATTTATGTCTGTTTTAATAGTAACAGGAAGAGGGGAAAGGTATTTGTCAGGCCCTCTTGGAGTTTCACCATTTCATTCCCCCTTTGTTTTTTGCCCACAGAATGCACAGACAAGCAAGTCCAACCCATCCTCCTCCTGCAGACACATCCTTCAGCAATCGGAGGGGACGACAGCTCCCACAGGTGCCAGTGAGAAGCGGCAGTATAGAACAAGGTATCCAATAAAGAAAGATCATTGTCCAAAAACCTTGGATTTGAGAACCACCTCTTTTTATACACCTTTTATTAAATGAATAATACTTTAATTTATGTAGTTTGTTGCATCCTAAGATTTTGTGTCTTAGAATTTTATTCCTAGAACCACGTTATAATGGTTTATGGCATATACTCTGTTTTTGCTGAGTGAGTGAATGATTGAATTTTAGATTGTCAATTAGGAGAACGAATTGAACCCTAGAAATACCTTTTTTCAGAGGGACCAAAAAAAGAAAATACAGTTTTTAAACTCTCAGTAAAATATGGCATTTTATGTGTTAGAAGAAGGTTTATTTAAGCTTATTTTTAAAATATTTTTAAACAAGCATTTGATCATATTGAAGTCCTTACCAGTATTTTTAATTTTAACTTACTTGCAATATCCTGGTTTTTTATACAAGTTTTATGAAGAAAGAATAACTTAGAGCACACAGTTTAGTGTTTGGGTTTTTTTTTTAAACAATTCATGTTACTTACAGGTTCTCTTATTTTAAGCACATACACACTGTGTTTATTTTTCTAGAAAGAGAGAGAAAGAGAGTGAGAGAGACAGAGAGAGAGGAGAGTTTTGATCATGGAAATTAAATTCCCTAAACTATCTGGGCTAGATTATTTCAATACTGGGTTAAAATAGTTACTGTTTTTTTTTCATGTGACCCAAGGTCTATCCCATTTCTTAGTAGGTGAAAAGATTTATCAGAATATGTTATCACACAAGTATTATCAGAGATCCATCCATTAAGTAAAGTACTGAAATAATTTTTAATTTGGGGTTATAATATAAATACAGAGGACTTCTCTTTAAAACATGTGTTCAAAATCATCATCCCCATAAACAACTAAAAGGTTAACATTTTGAATATTTTTTTCAACAGTGTTGGTTGTTGCTGATGTGAAATTTTGTATTTCATTCTATATTGAAGGAGCTGCGTACATGTTTTACTTAATTGAAGTAATTTACTGAATGTATCACTTAAATGTTGTTTTACTTAATTGAAGTAATTTACTGAATGTATCACTTAAATGTATCAGAGAAATATCACAGAAATGATCTAAGAAGATAAATACATTGTTTCAAAGACTGATATGACAGAGAATATAAACAGAATACTTGGTTATAGAAAAATTAGTGTAGATTTTAAGAAATATCAACTTACTAATAGAGGAAGGCTGCTATGGTAAACTCTGGATGTGTGTTATTTTTAAAAATTATACGTTTTCATGAATATGTCATGCTTCAATACTCAGGGTTATTATAAGAGTATTCATTTAGTTAATAAGGAATCTATGATGCCATGTGAAACTCTGACTTTCTTTTCTAAAATAGCAATTAATTCATTGGAATTCTCAATTCATGTGTTTAACAAACTTTCTTTTCTCTTTTGGGAACATTTTGAGAAGATAATTCATAATTAATGTTTTTAAGACTCTAACAATAGTCCAGATGAAACTGCTTTAAATAAAACTTGGTGTTTCTTTAAATTATCCATTCATGAACTCCTGTTGCACAACTAAAAGAACCACAAATTCTGGAATTTTGCTACAAACTCAGTGGCCATATTTTGCTAAAGATCAATATCCAAAAATCATGTGTTCCTAAAATTCTTTGCATTTCCTCCAGTTGCTAAAACACTCTATAGATTCAAAAGCATATAAGGGTACTGCATGTAACTCTTATATAGTGAGATTATAGTCATATTATTTCTATAGAAATAAGAGTTGCTTCTGTGTAATCAGTTGGATTGTATGCTGGATTTGGGTTTTTTTTAAAAGCTATGTTCTATTGTTAATATCAACATTACTGTTTATGATATTCATATTCACAGTTGTCTTTCAGAGAAATCATCAATTTGTAAGGATTGAATTGAGGTGGGAAGAAAGGAATGACTGAGGATGAAATTGATGGAGTTATTTTGAAATTTAATATAAATACAGTAGTCAACACTTTTTGTTATTTGAGGTTCCTGAAATTTATGGTCTCAAGAGTCATATACATAAAACCTTTTTAAGATATGAGAACAAACGTGTTATTGTATCTAAGTGTTCTTCCATAATTAAAACAGATCTGGTTTACTTTTTGATTTTATTATGTGCTCTGGGACTTTTGGAAAATGATAATAGTGTCTTCCGTCATCATATCATGGATCTATTTCAAAATGAACAGACATGACATCTTTTTGTGTCCTAAAATATGTTTTTAAAAGTAAACTTTTCATTTGATTCCTAGACGAGCCAGAATTTAGCACGTTAAATTTATGATCGATTTCATTGTTGTTTGTAGGGTTATAGAATTATGGTTTTTTTTCTTTTGATAGTAGTTTTTAAACATTTCAATCTTCCATTAAGTTAATGCTGAGTGCAGTTCATTTGCAATTAAGCCTCTACTTCCTTCTTTCCAATCTTCTTTCTTGTTGCTGTTGTTTTTTTATTTTTAACAAAGGGTAGTTTTACTTTTTTTTTTGAAAAAAAGAAATGAGTTGATGATAAGCAGTTGTTGGTAAGAGCAAATATTTCAAATGGTTTAGATTCCTAGATAGTGATGCAACTTCATGATGAAGTTATAAAATAATTTATTCATGCGGTTTCTGGATACAGTTATCTACTTGATTTTTTTAGGATTTGTGCCAGGATGATTAGATTATTTGACTGGATGCATGTTTTGTTTTCTTTTGTTTTCTGTAATTCAGTTTTACTATTCTGTCTTTGTACCATAGAAGCAATATGTGCTCTTTTAAAGGCAAACACATCCTTTGAAAAGACATTTTTACTTAATTTTTGAAAAAGTTTTTAAAGTTTCTTTTAAAAATTAAGAATGCTAGCCTATTTGCTACATGGAATCTAATTACATTAAAGTATACTTAGAAGAAAAGAAGAGGAGTGATTACAACACAGATTTTGAGGATAAAGTAGCCAAAAAAGTAGCCTTACAATTTAGGTAACTAATAGTTTGTGGTAATTGGACAAAGACTTCTAAGAAATTTCTCTGGTTATATTCCAAAGTTGTATTCCAACATAACCCTTGTGGAGAGTGAAGCTGAAAGCAACATAACTATTTGCATAAAAATGTTGTATGGTTTTCTGAAACCAACCAAGTGATTTTCTTGTGCTCAACTGGGTATCTTTTAAAGAAGTATTTAAAAATTATTTGTAAACTAACACTTGGTGTGCCAGCTATATTTTATGGCTATGATTATATCTGCTACTTAAAACTCTGATGATACTCCCCTTCAGAAATATCTAGATAGGCCATTATTTTTCAATAAATAGAGTACAAATAAGGAGGCAGATATAAAGCTTTATGAAATGTCTAAGAATTATAATCTCCAAAGAATAATTTCACTTTGAGATATTTTAATATAATTAATTTGAGAAGGAAGAAAGGATTACTTAAATTAGGGTAATTTTTTCCTTGTGGAAAATGTTACTGAATATCTTCACAATGAAAAGAAAATGCCTACTACCTAGTAAAAACTGGAATTCCATTTTTCATAAATTATGTGAAATTTCAAATTATCTGAAATGTATCATTTTTGAAATGATAAAAATGTTTGTTATGAATATTAAGGATGCTTTTTAATACACTTGCAATAAAAAGTCATAATGGATTAAAATTAGAATGTTTTAGAAAAATTGGTGCTGAACTATTTTGCAGTTCTTAAAAGGCAAGAAAAAATGCCACACAATACATTTTTCTATGCCAAACATTAATTTCCCAGTGTTTCTGTTTTTTATTTTAAATCTTTAAATTGTTGTATTCATTCTTTCTTTGATTAATTTTAGTACCATATTTGAGACTTCCTTATGGTTTGTCATTGCAATTTATCATGTCACATTATATGTTGTACATTTTTATTATTCATGCCATTGTGCTAATTCACATTTCCATGTCTAACTATAAATTTGCTGATTTCTTTCTTTTGTTTCCATCATTATGTGCATTTAATTCATTGAAGAACAAGAAAAATATAACTCTTCCACAAAAGGTAAATATTAATGTAACTTTTTAACCATTTAATATTATTCCTTTTCTTTCATAATATGTGAGTTATATAACTGTATTTATTGAAATAATGAGCAAAATTATTTAACATAAAGATAGTTTTCTCCCTGCAGTGATTTCGTAGGGCATTTGGTATTAAGTATTTTGTATTTTGTATTATTCACATCTAAGAGGAAAAGATTAAGAGTGCTTTTGTCTCAAAATTGATCTACAATGACAATTCCTTTTGAAAAATAACATATTTCTTATATGTTTTTGTTTGTTTGTTTGTTTGCATTCCCCTGCTCTCATGTGAAGGGTTGATTCTGACTTTCTGTTCAGGGTAGTATCTGCTGCAAAGGAAGAGAAAAATCCCTGGATCTTCCCTTTTGATAGCAGCAACATTATAGAATGTTTGGCCCCCCACTGCAATCATGCATCTGGGAAACAGGTGCCTAACTGTCACTTGCCTTGGCCTCAGTATTGTTATAACACCCACCAGTTCTGTCTTCCTGAGTGACAGACGAGGAAAACCACTCAGCCTGCTATGCTGGCACATCGGTGACCTCCTGCCTTACTATCTTTTGGATCACAGTTGATTTTTGGTCTTTGGACTTGAGTTTCAAGTAGATGTATACCTTGTCCTGCTCGCATGTGCTGCGCATACCATTTTCTATTCAATATTACTGTTGGCCTGATAACTAAATATTTGAACATGAGTTTTAGCTTAATAAAACAATAATATTAATTATTTAATTAAATATATAATAATATTTAATTATTTAATTAAAAATTAAATAATGCTGTATAGTGTAATAAAAGTACATTTACTCAGTGTTTGTGGATTAATAATTGAATTAACTTGTTGGGCATAGTAATCCTAAAAATTAGTCCTGAGAGTAGCATCATCCCTTTTTTATGAATGACAAAATTCAGATTCTGAGAGATTAAGAGATTTACCCATTTACACTGCTGATGAA